ACTGTAATTCTAGTCTGCTTTCTCAGAAATCTTAAATAGTAGTCTCGATTAGTCTTAACTATAAATATCAAGTAAATAATTTTTTTTAGAAGAAATCTAAGGCATTTACGAGATACATGATTTTTAAATCTCACGTTAGATTCAGGGATGGGGGCTGAATCAAATCTCACGAAATCTCACCGGGGGGAAGGGACAAAAATCTCTTAAATCGCGTAATTTATTGGCGCCGCCTAATATGTAACGGACAGGTTCAATCAGCTCGAAGCGTGATAGACGAATCAAACGTGACTTATTCTCTCGCTACTCTAGCGCACGTGTCTACTCGCGTAAAACGGGACGTGACAGATCAATTGGTTTTTTACCGAACACGGTGCTTTTATCGCGAACACTGCGGAATGTGGTCCAGTTGGGTCAGGTCTAAAAATGCACTAACATCAATGCTATTATTTATACAAATACGAGGTAGATATGACACTTGCCAAACTGAGGCACTCAAATTACTGCAATTATGTTTGATTAGTATGCTATCTCTTTCCGTATCATACTCTCTATAGCATCTGTCACATTCACTTATAAATGTAATACAATGGTGAACAAAAGCGGAACAATTTTTGAAGTCCGCTCAGTATGGACATGCGTAACCTTTGTTAAAACATCATTGCACTAACATCATTACATATCAATATTTAATGGACAGGTCTTCTATCTTCTATTAAGTGAAGATTTTGCTTTCAGTCCGTACTATTAAAGATTCAATGAACGCTGAACTCGTGGGCCCTCCTTGTTGGTTAGGGCAGTGCATGTGTTCATGTTCGTTGGTAGACAAATATGGGGACCTGGGCAGTAGTTGGCTCCACGACTGTGCGTCTTTCACGTAATTTTCGCGTAAAAATTATCACAGCGATATTAGCGGACCGATATCACTTAGGGACCTACAAGATGAGAGCCTATTCCTACTTCAAAGGCTAGCAACATATGCTGTACTCTAGTGTTGCGAGGGTCCACGGGCGGTAAACACTTACTAATCAAGTGGCACGCCTGCTAAATTGCCTCCTTTTCATTGCAAGCAATTAGTAGGCAGTAGTTACCGATCATGTAGAAAATCTGTCTGGCTCCTACTTAAAACTAATGTATGGTGCTCAGTGACACGGAGTGCGAAACTTTGTATATTTTACCACGACGCAATAATGTATCTCGAATTACATTTGGTTTAAGTTATAAGCTATTAGCGGGCTCACTAATAATTTGTTCTATTACTGTGATATTCTGATACTGAATGTGTTATAATGTAGGTATTATGTAAAAATACCGTTGGTGTTGCACACACTATCAAAAGAAATTAAAATTGTGCCGGGACAAATATACCAGCAAGATTGCGCCTAATAGTGCAATTTATTACTATTGCAAACTATCATTAGCATCTGTATCGTCATTACTTATGTCAAAAATGTAAATACATATAACTCAAAGATAAACATTAAGAATAGTTCTTATGTTTAGACAATTAAGGTTGCAGGTTTTGTATAAATGAGTCTGAAAGTTTTTTTTTAATGTGGATTATTTTCAAACGGGCAGGCGATTCATATGATGTTAAGTGAAGACGTTAAGTGTTAAGAGCCGTGATAGCTCAGTGTCCGGGCGCTCGCCTTTAATTCAATATACTCGAGCAACCTGAGCTCGATCCCCGGTGCCGGCGCCAATGAAGTTTTTAACTTTAAGTGCTGATTTATCACGCGCTCCGCGGTGAAGGAAAACATCGTGAGGAAACCTGCATATTTTCGAAATAATAACAAAAAAAATATTTCGAAGATATGTGAAGTCCGCCAATCCGCAGTGGAGCCGCGTGGTGCACCCTCTGTATAGAGGAGGCCTTTGCCCAGCTGTGGGACATATATAGGCTGTTACTAAGTGAAGACCGCCGCCCATGGACATCTACAATACCAGCGGGCTTGCAGATGCGTTGACAACTTTAAAGAAGTGGGCTCCAGTTACCTCACTCATTAGACGAAACTTATACGTATAATACTTAATAAATACGCGAAAGTATAATACATCCACTTCACGTATTTTATTATTAACAAGATTAAATATAGATATTTAAAGTTTTATAGTGCTATTCTCCGCACTTAAGATTAAACATTAAAATTTGTAGAAAAACTACGAAAAGATTGTCGATGTAGATGAAGGACGTTAAGATTTCCGTCGGTGTGGCAATCTGCCGTTTAGCTTAGTGGCTAAAGCGTCACGCCGCGAATGCCGAAGACGTGGGTAGGATTACCACAGCGGCGACAATCTCTTCGTACTTTTACTACAAATTTTTAGATTAAATCTATCTAAAATTACATATTATCTAATTAACCTTATCCACGCGGCATGGTGCCAAGAATACTAGCTGTATTTCCTCGACGAATAGTTATGCTTAACTCTTGAGCGAGAAAAGAACCAGCTCCAACTAAACTAAACTTCTACTTAATCAACTTCACGTGGATTTTCTGTGAGGCCGTGGTACTTCCCGGACGAGCCTGCCCATTCGTGCAACAGGAGCTGTTCCGAGGCTAATTGTCACGGTGTAGCAGTAAGTTAAGCAATAAATCGCCATCTCTCGTGGCCTGCACCGCGCTGCGCCAATCGATACGGGCAGCGTTTCCTCATCGGACGATGTGGCGTGGACAATGCGTCGTTATTACATTACACTCTCGCTGATGGCGCGGGAAAGTGTGCGATGGCGACAGTGAAAGCCCAAGTCATGTCCAGCGTTCGATGTCCATTATGGTCTAAAAATAAATACGGGATACCACGTCTTCTGCCCGGATGCTGTCATAGACATCTCGGCACTAGCCCTATTAACATTTTATTAAGAACTAGCGGACCTGACAGACGTCCTGTACACGCGACTTACAGTATCAGTGGACATGAAACGAATAGGTGTATTATCGTTTTCTGAAATGATGAATGTTATAAATGCTGCAAATGTATAAAATAATAATTGCTTCTCTTCGATCTTAGGCGATATAACTCAAAATCACTTATCTAATGAATTGACAACGTTTGTGTTTTTCTATATTGAGAATGTTCGATACTAAAAGCCCAACGTTCACTCTGAGGCAGGGCAAGGTAAATAATACATAGAACTGTATTTAGAAGGAAGTCTGTTTTTGTTTCCTCATTACTTCTTCTTCAGATTTACCCTACAGGAACTATACATCCAGCTGGGATAGATAAGCTATGTCGACGCCCTTGCCATTAACCATCTCACTCTTTCTGCGTTAGTTACATTAGTATAATTATTAGTTATTTTAACGGAACTAACAACAGAACAGGTTGCATCGATAAATAATTAGAACAGTCAATGTGAAATCGGATTAAGCCGTCAATATCACGTCCCAAAGTATCCATTACCGAGCCGTTTACGTGAAGGTATCCAAATGCACATCCTTCGCACGGTAAGACAACACTTGCGACGAGGCTGTGTCCACGTCCAACTCAGTCCCTAAAGCCAGCGGGAACACAAGCGGAGCGGATAACTTTCGTTCATATAACTGATTACTAATCCTTTAACTTATTAAAAACACCGACTTCAAACAGGAAACGCCTATAACATGGATTGCCCTCGATTTCTCTGGGATTCCATCATCAGATCCGGGTTTCCTTATCATGGTACCACCTTTGGGATATCTCCTCGCCAACAAAAAAAGAATCCTCAAAATCGGTTCATAAGACATATATTCATAAAGACGAAGTTATCCATGAACACACAAAAAAAAATATATACGGTCGAATTGGGAAACCTCCTTCTTTTTTGAAGTCGGTTAAAAATAGCATGAACTCAAAAACGCGGAAGTGTTCTTTAGTACAAATACTTTTTCTTTACATCTGCCTTCTGGAAAGATCTGCATTTGTGCAACAGCCGTTGAGTAGCTTCATTAAACAAACTTATATTAACGATTCACCACTGTTTTTTTTTTATTATTGTAGATCCTTGAAATTAATTGGCATTACTTCATTAAGTAAAAGTAAAGTTACGAAATGTCGCATACATTTATGTGAGCCAGAATACAAGAATATAATGCAACTCGGCCATTTTGTAATTGCACGCGACACTTGCCCGAATTAATTGTGATCGCATCACAAATTACGCAATTGGCCGCTAATAAAACGTGAACAGCGCTGAGAGCTCCGTAGACCCAGAGGTCATGCGTAATTGCTTTATGGACCTTGGAATGACTGCGGTAGAGCAAAACTGCATGTTTGTTATTTTGTTGTACGAAATGCCAAACCGCATATGTGGCACATTTAATGGTACATGAAAATGTAATAAAATAGACTCTTAATGTTGCCACAATAAAACCAGTTTTATTTCTTTCATGCTGTAAGGACTAGATTATCCTGTAAAAACATGCCCTTACTTTAGGACACACAATCCTGTGTTGTGAGCACGTTTTACATACATAAATTTCACTTCAACACACACCCAGATGCGAAACAATTATTTGTGTGTCATAATAATAATTGTCCCGTTTGGGGATCGAACCAACGACCCACGAAGCCGAAGCCAATATTCTGACAAATGCGCCACGAAGTCATCAAAATATGTATAATATGCCTTATATATTTATTTATTATCTAAGCCCTGTACCCCAATTTGCCTGGAAGAAATTGCTACCTTAGCAATAAGGCCGCCTGTATGTACACTATCGAATGTTTCCTGTCTCATCTTCCTTTGTATTTCCTTGTGTGTAATAAAGTATATTCTACTAGCTTTTCGCCCGCGGCTTCGCTAGCGTTGAAGCCTTTAAATAAATATCTTTCAACCTTTTACAACACTTTTTTCTCAATTAAAAAATAGCCTATATCCTTTCTAAGGATCTAGACTATCTGTGTACCAAATTTCATTTAAATCGGTTCAGTACTTTTGGAGTGAAAGCGAGACAGACAGACAGACAGAGTTACTTTCGCATTTATAATATTATAGTATGGATTCTATTCTACTATCTTTCCAGGACTCCACTCGGATCTGTCCATAACGTCCCTGGACGGGGAGGAGGGCGAAACGCTGCGCCGTGGGGCTTTAGCGGCCGCGTGCGCTGACGCCGTGGCGGCCTACGCCACCCTGGAGGGCTCCAGGGTCAGGGACTCCATCGCGGCGCACGCCAGAAGAGCGCTGGAGAGAGAGAGGCAGATCGACGAGAAGAACGACATCATAGCCGAGCTCTCGTCCAAGGTACGATTTAGTTAAACGTCTTTCTTTCTTCGTTAGTCTTCAGCGAAGTGTTAGATGTTGAAACACATTTAAAGGACCATGAGCAGTTCTTATCGCCGCCAGCGAATACGTAACTGTGGTAGGGCTTCGCAAGTCTTCGCTGTATCACTAGCGGGCAGGTCCATCCGTAAGTAACACGACCTCACAGAAGACCGGAGTGGAAGTATTATGTGTCTGCCTTTCGTCTGGTGAGTGAGGTAGCCGGGGTGCACTTTATTGGAAGTTAGCAACGCATGTACAACCTTACTGGTGTCGCAAATGTCCATTGGCGGTGATTATCACTTAACAATTTTAATGTTAACTTTATGGGAACCGCCAGCTAGCTTGCCACGTTCTCTATAATAAAGACCCCAACGACCATTAGCCTACATGTTATTAATCCAAATTTGTCCACATGCGTGATCGCGTAGGATCTATGAAGGAAAGTGTAGCTTGTCAAGAGCTCTGTGCTCGTTTCAGCTTAATTTATTCTAGTGACCAAAGCGCAAATCCAACATGAAGCATTTAAAGTCGTATTCGATACAACGATGGACCGATTGGACGTGTAAAACCGTCTATTTTAGAAAATAGGCGGCGTAATATCTAGTGGCGCAAAGATTAATTATCTTTGCGCCACTAGATAAAAAAGACTATCTCGAGGTAAAACATCACAGAAGACTGGTATACTTTTGCATTTTGTCTTCCCTCCTATATATATTCCTATTTTCTAAAATAGACCAGTACATATTTGGCAGCTTTATAATTATTGCCACATCTTAAATATTGCAGTGTGCGTGCTTGAATAGTTTCCCCAGACACAAAATGTACGAATACATTCCCAGCCTTAACTCTACCATTTGCTTAATTCTCGTTCTCTGGATTTGCGCAAAAATATTTCTTTTTCAATTTTACTCGCGATTCAAACGAAGTGCTGCTCCCGCGCGGCACACTCAATTCAAGTACCGTTCACCATTTTGCAGACATAATCGATTTTTAGCCGACATCGATTTATATTTGGAGATGCTTGCGGTTTTACACGTCCAATCGGTTCATCGTTATATCGAAAATAATTCCCGTGTGGGAATCAAACGAACGATCACCGACGCGGAAGCCAATTGGAAACCGCGCCAAGGAGTCTTCGGACTTATGTAGTTAAAAAAATGTAAAGTAACAGCCTATACAATCCGCCTGCTATGCAAAAGCCTCTTCTACGCAGAAGGTATGGTCATAGTCCACCATGCAACGTTTATCATTAAAAAAACCCTTTCTCAGAATGGTGAATTCGGTCTGTACTTATCTTTATGGCCTTCTGGTACTGACCCATCCCACACGCCGCCCACTATGATCGGCATAAAGTAAACGTCAATATGGTCATAACGAGCAACCGACCTCTCGCATAATAGACAGTGGAACAATATACTAGAAGCGATCAGCCCATATACAGACGATTCTAGTTTGGTGACAACAATAACGAGGGGTGTGCTACCTAAAAAGTCTGCTTATTATATCGTTAAGCTGCTATCAGACCGGTGCGTAATGCCAGGGCTTAGACGTGTTAGATATTTTTTACGGTTTTCTATTTTATTTCTTGCCTTGCCTTTGTGTACGAAATTATTATCACTAAATTTACATCAGTCCATATCGTCAAGTCGATTATTTAATGGGAACGAATAATAATGAAAATGTCGTTTGTCGTTTGTTTGTAAACTAAGATTTTGTTTGTTAGTTAAAAAGAACAGACTAACGCTAATCTAAGATTGACTTTTGTACTGTCTTTTACCAGTTCATAGAAGAAAGAAAAGGCTGATATTTATCTTCAAATAGTAGTTAATCAGATTACTTATAATAAGTGTAATTATTCAAGGCCTTATAACTAGGTCCCACATGGGACGCGTAGTACTGTGTGGCATTCAATTAGTCTTTTTAAATTTCGGTCTTTTAGCCGATTTTAAATGAATTCTTTTAGTCCGAAGCCCGTAGTGAGTTTTAATTATATTCTAATTGATTTATCTGCGGACAACATAAGATTCAAGTGACTAAAAACATCACAGTTGACGATAAAAAATCAATTTGAATTTCAAATGCGAAACAATGTCAGGTCTTTACCAAATGATAACGATTCCTTCTTAATTAAGTAGGTATAAAAATAGCCAAAGGTTTTTTGCTGCGCAACTTTTTACCATTTATAATTTATAACCAGTATTAAGAATAACGACAGAATACAAATGTATTACTAGTTCTTGAGAACTCTAGCAATTAGCTACGTAACAGGTTTACCGCTTATTTCATTTTATTTTAAGTTACAGAAAGCATATATCCTTGACGTTACGTTGACTACAAAGATACTCAATAATAATTTGTAACAATAAAAATTATAAGGTAGGATGTGTACTTTATGCATTCTGTAACTACTAAATTGGGAGTACCAGTTGATAGAAAATACAAATAAAATAAGATTTTACCACAAATACATTTATACGATAATTAGAAAGAAAAGAGGAGATTGTTCAGTGTTTCAATCACCTCGGAATTCATAAATTTTTAAATAAAACGAAAACCCGTTTGCAAAAAAAAAAACTAAATAATCTCAAATCGACCTTAAAATTGATCCGCCAGTAGATGGAGTGACCACCAGTGATAATGTGCAGCAAGTAGGTGGATGTAGGTGGCTCATAATCGTGCCACAGACTGCCACGAAGGCAGTCTGTGGGGGAGGCCTATGTTAAGCAGTGGACTCGGACACGCTGAAATGATGATGATAATGAAATATATTTGTATCATTGTATTGTATATGTATACATTTTAAATACCTTACCGTCCATTTTTTTTTCTTAAAAAACGTTGTCCTCACTTTAGGATAACATTATCCTGTGTTGCAAGGACGTTTTACAAACATAAATTTCACGCGGACAAATACCCAGATGCGAAACAACTATCTGTGGGTCACACAATAGTTGTCCCGTGTGGGAATCGAACCCAGGACCCCCGACGCCGAAGCCCAATTGCCATATGCGCTACGGAGTCATCACCTTTGGTGGGCGGTATTCAACAATGAATAAACTCTAACCTCGTTCTGCGTGGATGGTGATGGTGAACCATGCTGGAAAAGGTGAAACGTTAGCTCAGGTTAACGTTACGACTAATATTTATAGAGTATATTTCAGTGTGGTCATAATGGGCCTGAAATTGTCAAGGCCTCACAGAAAAGCAGCGTGATGTCGAAGAATTAATTTCGCGTTTCGTCTGCTGAGTGAGGTAACCGGGGCCCACGTTTTTATGGGTTTTAATGATGAAATATTAATGATTGGCAACGAACCTTTTTTTATTTGAAAAGTTGCCAAGCGAGCAGGCACCAGATGTTAAGTGAATTCCGCCACCCATGGACATCTGCATTACCCGAGGGTTGCTGATGCGTTGACAACCTTTTGAACATTGGGCTCCGGCTACCTCACTCACCAGACGAAACGCGAAAGTATTATGCTTCCACTTGACGCCGGTCTTCTGTGAGGTCGTGGTACTTATCCGGACGGACCTGCCCATTCGTGCAACAGCCGAGGCTGCTGCGTGGCCTTACTCTTAAACTTGCAACACCTGAAGTGTTTTAGATGTCAATGGGTGGTGGAAATCACTTAACATCAGGTGTACCGCTTCTCATATGCCATCTGTTCTGTGACAGTGATGGATATTGCTAAATCATCGAAACGTCGAAAAGTGAAAAAATCAAACGCGAATTAATCTATATAAAATTATTATATGTTTAACAATTAAACAACAGGAACACTATGTTTTGGAACCTTCTAGTTTAATTTCAAATATTTATCAGAAAATATACCAGAATTCGATAGGATCTCTACACGCAGCCTACCGTTACTCGATTACCGAACTAATGCAAGCAAAATTTCCATATCACAAACTATTTCGAGCTAAAAGCCGCTCCGTCGCGCTCACCCGGTATAGGAGAGAGCGGGAGAGGCTTTCAGGCTTTGTAGCGCTGGCTAGTTGACCTGGGTGACGTCACAACGGTCACCGTCCGACCGGTTAAGCCCGCGTCCCGGGTCATTGACCACGGACAACCTCGCTGTTTCAGCGAGTATTTATATGCTGAATACGATGCAGAGGTTTTATCTGATGGTAACTTGGCTGGAATGGAAAAACATATTAATATTTGTCGATACTTTATTTTTTTTACGATACACTTTTTAGGTGAAGCCAAACAATCTGTGGGATGTCATATTGCTATTAAAATACACATAACTTTATAACACATAATAATAATAAAAAAATAATAAAATAACTTGTAGGTAATAGTCGAGAATGGACGATTCTTTTTAGTTATCTTCTTGATAAATTTCCTCCAGTTTAGAATCCCTTATCGTTTACACAATATAAAGATATTAATGAACAAATTTTCTTTCCGCGAAACCCACATTATTTATAATATGAAAAATGTACAAATATTTTGCATTAAATCTTCAATTACAGTGAAATTATTTTCATTTGTATCATTCACGTGTTCCTGTGACATCGTGGATTTTTATATCTCCAGTAAACTTACGCGAATACTCATGTTCGACTGACCTGCAGTTTTTAATAACAGTTTTGAATAAATGGAAATAAATCGGAGTGCAGAAGTCGTGTGGATGCACAGGCCTACTCAAACACAATGATTTCCGAAAACAGCTGAAATATCTCTATAAATAAAAATGAATCGCTGGATGTGTTGCCAAGCGCAAATCTCGAACCGATTTCGCTAATTAACTGTGGTAAAATGTCACTTGAAATGTAAACGTCTCTTTGCTATGCATCACTACGTAGTATAAAGTGTCTGTCCCTATGTGTCCTTAGATCTTTAAAACTACGCACCGGATCTTGATGCGGTTTTTTTACTAGATAGAGTGATTCAAGAGGAAGGTTCATATGTATAATGCATTACTTATCTATACAGATAAATAAATATTATGTATTAAAATAACCGCTTTTTACTAAATGCATATGGATGTATACACGCTACATATACCAAAATAAATTTTCTGTCGTCCTGTATAATAAATTTTATTCGTCTGTCTGTCTGTTTGTTCCGGCTAATCTCTGAAACGGCTGGACCGATTTGGACGGGACTTTCACTGGCAGATAGCTGATGTAATAAGGAGTAACTTAGGCTTATTTTATATATTTTTTATTTAAAATTCCGCGCGGACGAAGTCACGGGCACAGCTGGAATTCTAATAAATTTCTAGCCTAGAAATCAGTCTTATATCTGATGACATGGCGCCGTCACCTGTGTTGAAACGTGACGGCGAATTGTATAAATACACTATATTTCTGTACGTTTGTTTCACTTAATTTAACCGTGGTAGGGTCACGCAACAGCCTTCACTGATGCCATGATAGCTGATGTCCGATTATAACGTAGGCGTCTTCAAGGCAAGAGTGAATAGGTTTTTACTGAGCTAGCGCGCTTACCATCAAAGGCTGCATCGCCACTTACCATCAGGTGGGGTGGCAGTCAGGTGCTGGCCAGTTTTGAATCTAAAAAAAAATTCGTTTTTAATTTAATATACTCGAGCAACCCGACTTCTATATCGATGCTGGCACCGGTGTCGCGTGGTGGACTATGCCTTAATACCCTCTATACAGAGGATGTATATGGATTGTTACTCTACTTAAGCCGTTAAGTCACGCACACCGATTTCAAGTCACGACGTAAGGAGTCATTAATATCTGTCCAAACAAACAAACCACGAAGTGATGAAGAACTGCGAGGTGGAATTATTTTGAGGAATATTAAAAGGTAAAGTTATTGTATTGTTGTTTTCCGATCGGATATCAAAGATTCGATTCTCATTCAAATAGAACGAAGTCCGTTTTCTCCCAGCGGTGTTCTTTGGCAAAAAATCCTGTTTCATTCTCTCAGGGGTAAGGGTCGCTTTATCACGTGCCACGTTTTGCAACATTGGTAATAAGTGAATGACACGTTACGGCATGTTACGAGTACCTCATTACGTTTAAATAATACGAATGCTTGCATAAGTACAATCTAAGTTAAATGGAGCAGTATATAGTTACATCCAGTGTATCGAGTACGAAAGTATTTTTTCTCTGTAGTAATAATTGAATCGATTCTTATTGTTTTTAAAAGAACAGCAAGAACAGTTCACGGAAGTCATGGATTCATCACAATCCATGACTTCCGTATACGAAAATAATTACTGCTAAATTGATGTTATAATGATGTTATTGCACTTGTAAACATAAGCTTCAAGTAATAAGTAATTCATTCCATTTCACATTTTCACATGAGCCTAAAGAATTGGGACAGAGTCTTTGTCTTCTCTTCTTTTCACTGATATTTTGTTTATAAATCCCGTTAATTTTTACGTTTTTTCGGCCAATCGCATTTCCCATCAAACTGTTCATGCTGTCAAAGTAATTTGAAATTTTTTGCTCTGTTAAGCTTGCGTGTTTCCTGTGAAAACAATTGAACGGATTGTACAATTCATCATAGGCGTTTAGATGTGCCCTTATATAATAGACACAAAACGATACAAAAGGAAGTATCAATCTATACTTATCCCACTGCTGGGAAAATACCTCTGTTCAGAGAGTGGAGAATAGTCTAATCGACCCTAGTGCGGATCGAGGGCTTTGGCCTGCTCTCGAAACAATTTTTGAGTTATCTTTTGTGTTAATGTTAGTGACGATGGTTTGTCTAGCAGGTGGTATACCACCACCTATTTTATTTATTATCTTTTTAGATACATGTTAGTGATGTTTGTTTTGCCTAGCAGGTAGAATACCACAACCCGATATTGCCTATTACAATTTCATTGGTGTTGTGAAAGGTATTTGTATTCGGATGGCAGAGTGATTCAAGAAGAAGGTCTTTTTATATTTTGCATATTGTAGTAGAGAAAAGCCGATAAATTTAAAGATTAGTAATGTGATGTAGTGTTATGTAGTATTAATGGTTGGTAACGTATCTGCAGTCAGGCGTTGTAGATGGTTTGGGTGGCGATAATCACTTAACATCAGGTGAACCGTCTGCTCGCTGGCCAGCTTTTCACCAAAAAAAAAAATGTTTGGTAACGTTATATTTGTAGGAAACAATCCGCAGGTTTAATAGAACTCATTTGATGTCTATGTGATTTGACCCCAAGACCTGAGATGGCGAGTCGATATCCCCATCCACAAGGCCACCGTGACTTGGTAACTTAATTTTATATTTGTTAACTTACGTTTTTATAACCCTCTATGCGGTATAGGTATATTTTACGTTTTAAAGAGAAGTCTTGTGATTAAGCACAAGGTCTCGAAAGCGAATCGGACAGGTTATGACTGAACAAAGGATTTATTAAGGCTGCTTACAGTTGTGACACTTTCCATTACAATTAAACCGACAATTATTGTTTAAATGTGCTATGTAAAGAAACAATTTATGTGTCGTTATTATTTACAATCTTACACGACGTTTTTAACAATTATAAATATTTTAAAAAGATGCATTTTTTCTCATAATCTAGTCGCTTTCATTCAATTATTAATTAATTCAATAGTGATATTTCTAAATCGATAAAAACTATTTGTATTTGTGTAAATACGTAACACTTTGCGTAAAATATTAATAATTGTTCTGACAACTTTTCACTCATAACGTGTCATAAGTTATTAATAACCCTATGGTTATTAAAAACTATGGTGTCTATATACCATAGTGTTTTCCTTTATAGAAATCATATACCTATACCTAGTCTTAACTATAATGAAGACCAAAAACCACAGAGTTACAATTATAATAATTGTGTATAGATTTAATTCATGCTTTTTAAAAACTAGTGCTTGATTAATAGTTATAATGTTAAATTTATCCATTGTTTCGCAGTAGTTCATTTTTTGGACATTCTTAAAATAAGAAATGACTATGACAAAAAAAAATTCACTCCCGGTATATATTCACGCTAAATCCCAATATGAAAGTCGCAGTCCTTGTCGCTCTACGAATACTTTTTGTCGCCAAGGTTGGGCCATTATTAAGGCTTTATGCGCCATTTGCGAACACACAAACTTTGCAAAACATGACATCGTTAGGAACGAGGCCATTTTAGTGGCCTTTATTTTGGCTTAGTTAATACAGCAACCGTACAGTGCTTAAAAAAGTAGCACAGAAAGCTGAATCCCCGAATAGATACTAAACTTCTTTTTAGTCCATCCAAAGGTTGCCTAGAAGAAATTACTTTTAGTAATAAGGCCGCCCATTGTACCCATCACATCTACATTAAGTTTTTGATTGTCTTCTACATTACATTTATTTTTATTTTGGTGTGCAATAAAGTAAATTTATTAATTCATTCATATGGAACATTCGAGGGCTCTCTTGATTTTTTTACCCAAAATCGGTCTAGCGTTTTACTAATATTTCAACTGATAGTAAGTAAGGTGTAATGTTAGATGATAAACCAGCAAGCTCAGTGACAGCCTGTTCAATATTTCCTTGAAGACACATTATGATGGAAAAGTGACGCTGGTAAACTTTAGTTTCAACATACCTAAACAGGCCTATCTTAATTAGACCTCTCGCCCCATAATGAAATGCGAATCATCGATGGCCATTCTTATTTTGTTACTGGTCGCGTGTGGTATATCATTTGCAGTGTATCACCAAAGCCCGTTAAGGCTTGCTTCTCACGGAGCGCTATTGTTTTGTTTCATTCGCGTAAATATGTGCCCGGGGCATGCGATGCTCCACTTTCTTTTTTTCTTGTCTATCTAAATTGTTTTGCAATTCGCGCCCGTATAGGCAACGGTACGCAGGTCGTTCGAAAATCAAATGCCAGAAAAAGATAAAAAAAAAAACAATGAATAAAGAAGGTTTAATATGATTTTTATTGATCAAACATATTGGTAGCGTCAAAAAGTAGCGAATCATCGTCACCATAACGGAGCATATTATCATTCTTTAATGTGTTCTAAATAATTTTTACAACTTGCCTGTGTACGATTTTCGTATATAAAGAAAATGGACGGCGTTAGTTTTGGCGGGAAACGCGAAGAGGAAGCGATAACCTGTGACCCGGTTAGCTTGGATACTGGAGCGACCCAACAATGGTTCTTTCTTCCACATCTGTTCAAATGCCGGAAACGATGCCAGCGCACCGTGAGACTCAGCGGTAATGGTTCCATAGTGTACAGATGTAATATGGTTCCATTCGCCGATCCGTTTTGCGGCACAGATAAAATAAGCTATTAAGACTGCTTCACACTGAAGGATATTGTTGTCTTATATCAGAGTACAACCTCATTCTAAAAATAATTTTCTTTCAATCGGTTTTCATTTGAAATACTTCTGTAAAAATCTTTTCGAAAGTTTCATGCACGAAAACGTTACTACCTTTATTTCTATAGCCATAGGTTACAATTACATTATATAAAGCCTTGACATATCGGGATCTCATGTCCTGTCTTCCAAATGTATAATGTATATATGATATAATTACGCAACTATGCTGCGTTGTCGGCAACAATGAAATTTGTTATTGAATATAAACTTGAGCCACACTTGTACACACACATACACAATTCCAAAGTTTTGTAGATTTTTAACAGGTTATATTAACGTATCAACTTAACACTATTCATTGCATACATTTATTTATATTTTAAGTAATCATAATAGGAAAGAAGTGTGTATATTTGACCGCACTGGAGTCACTCCTAATATTGGAGTACCGCCGAGTTGTAAGACCTAGGCATGCGTTTATGTGTGTGTAACTGTGGCGCTTTGTTGTTGCAGTTGTCGGTGGCCGAGGTGGAGCTGCGGGCGGCGGCCGAGGAACGCGACAAGCTTCTCAACGACGCCAACTACAACAGCCTGCAAAACGACGAGGCTGTCACGCGCGCCCGCCTCGAGAGGGACGAGGCCATAGAGCGAAAGAAGGCTGCAGAGGTGACGATTCTCAACTTATACCAACGGCCGGTTTCGATGTTCTGTCTACAGAGAGATTTGCTTACTAGCGATAGGTATTTGACCCAAATAATACTTACGTCAAAATTCTAGCTCCAGTATCCAAATCTATCTGTAGACAGAATATTGAAATTGGCTTTTAGTCGTCTCTCGTTAATCAGAAGTCTATTTACGTAAGTGGTTTATTTAAGTAGAAGACGTCTAGTAACGTAACAGCAGGGTATTAGTCCCCACGCGACCCCACTGCGGATTGGCAGATTTCACATATCTTCGAAATATTTTTGTTGTTATTATTTAGAAAATATGCAGGTTTCCTCACGATGTTTTCCCCCACCGCTGAGCACGCGATAATTTAGCAATTAAAATTAACAATTTCATTGGGGCCGGCGTCGGGGATCGAACTCGGGTTGCTCGAGTATATTGAATTAAAGGCGAGCGCCCGAACATTGAGCTATCACTGCCTTTACGTAAAATATATGCTAACTATTGTTAAAACACTCATGTAACATATATGCTACAGTATTAAAAAATAATCAAAAGAACAATGCTTAAAATAGTTTTAGAATAGAATAATGTTTTCACACTGGAAGCGATATCTGTTACAGTCATTTTTACAGAGGAATTAAATTGTTCAACGATATTCGTGTCACATTCCAGGTGGCTTTGGCGAAGACCAGAGTGGAGCTGATGCAGGCGAACAGCCAGCTGTACGAAGCTGTACGCCAGAAGGTGGACCTAGGTCAGCAGTTGGAGCAGTGGCAGGTCTGTACCTTTCTTATGTCTATGATAATAATAGTAAATAATATCGATGGATGGGCCGACACAAAATACTGCCCTGTGTATTTTTAAGAGTTTCCACTTACCTAACTCGCCAGACGAAACGCAAAAGTGTAATACTTAAACTCCACACTGGCCGCTGTAAAGCCGAGGTTACGAGTAAGAGCCCGCCCATTCGTGCAACAACAGATGCTGCGTGGCCCTACCACAGTCTAAACTGCTACCCTACCCACATTACAGATGGACATGCAAGAGCTCATCGACGAGCAGATGAAGCACAAACTCACGACACAGGAGAAGCGGAGGAAGCTGCCGGAGCCGCCTGTGCCCACGCGCGCCTCCAGGCTCCTCGGATTTTTTCAGCGGTGATCTGCCGCGCCCAACTCTTGGCGCGCCTAATCCGCGAGGCGGTGGGTGACGTCACGCTAACGGTGCTGTGTCTCCGGCTGATAAAACGCAACGACCCGCACCTCTATCCGGCGGCGGTCGCCGTGGCTACCGTACACTGCTGTCGTAACAACGCGTCCGCCATCTTGTTCTCGTCCGCCATCTTGTTGCATTCGGACGCGTTCGATTTAGCCGCGTGCCTCGTTTACTTTGCAATCGTATTCGGTAAACCGTTCGATGTGTACACGTCAGCAGTGATAGTTGGTGTCTTAATTAGAAGTTTAACTGTTACCCTTAATATTGTTCTCGACTTTTTACTGGAATTACCGTAGTTGAATTGTTAGCGCGCACGTATTTTGCACACGGTGACGCTTCAATGAGTCTGTTGTGCTAAGCGTACATCGTAGCGTAATTAATTGTCGTCAGCGCGTGCTGGTACAACGGATTATTCGAGCCGTGAGATTTTTTTTACTTTATCGATATTGAAACAGTACGAAAATGATAATGAGTAATAAAAGTTAATTTCTAGTAGGTATAGATATCGCCTCATGCACTCAACGGGAATTTTGCAACTAGTGATTTAACGCAAAACTTCAATGCGCCTTCAAATTATTGTATACTGTAGAGCAATGCGTAGTGGGAGGGAGACAAAAAGCGGCCTAGTCTGCGTCGCGAACGAGATAGCAACACCCCCCGCTAAGATCAACTTTGGAAGCGGATTGAAGTCTTGTGTCCTGACCGGGCGTGGACCTTGATCCACTTTGGACGCGGTCATTATAATAGAAAACATAATAAAAAATGAAAAGTTTGTTCAGTTCGTGATAGGAAAATGTAATATAAGTAAGTGACTACAGTTTAACCTTTCAAAAGAAGTGCAGTATTGGTTCACGGCTGCCCATAAAACGCAGTTGCTTTCATCACATCGCTAAGGATCCTTGCTGTACTACCTGAACCATAAATGCAGCCGCAATGTACATAACAAATCATATTTACACTCCACGAAACGTCTAGTTCGGAAATTTTACAGTTTCAAAAAATACTATGATGCACGTAAACTTACTGCTAATTAGACTATATTAGGTTTAACCACGGAAGTTGATATTTTAATAGCCATATTATTTACCATTGAAGTAATGAGAAACAAATTGTAATCAAGCGATCTGCTGCAGTTCTTTTTAACAATTCATTCATTCTAACATAATAACAACACAATCGTGAAAACTCCGCAGAACATTACATGTATAATAAATAGTTAGTTAAGTTTTTTTTTAAATTGTAATTATCACATAGTTTGAATTGTGCCTTAATGATTCGCGGGAAAATCTATTCGACATGTTTACTGAAAATAACCTTCACATTAAAGCGCGGGAAAAGTATGTTTGTAACAAAACGAAGAAATGAAACAACTGCCTCACTTTAATTTTGTAATTATTTTATGATGATTTTCATTATTTATAATCTGTAATAGAAGCAACCGCTATTTAGTCAAAATAAAAATTATTTATTTCCCGCGCTTTGATTTTTACAGGTTAATTTTCACCGAAATGTTTTTTTTTTTAATATTTTATTAATTTAAGTAGGTATAATACCGCAGTCGGCCTTCAAAAAGTGCCTTGTGCTCCCACATAATATAAGTCAATTGTATTTACACCGAGTTAAAATACAAACGTTATCGTCTATTACTTATAACGTATTTCAATGAGTTGCTCAAATAAATATTTTATTCATATACCAGAATGTATAACATTTTTATGTACCGACATATATCAATTATATCTTCAAGCATGTTTAAAATCTGATTAAAATGTATTAGTAAAGTAATATTCTGCGTAATCACTCTTTAAAAAGTACATGAGATTAGTTAATGAGATTACAAAGTGTCTAAAACCCCATTGTTTATATTTTACTATAGATATTTTTCTTTCACATGAATACTTTTCATAATGAAATTACGGTCTACTTAAAATGCACAGTTATTGGGTAATAATTGCTCTGTTTTTGCTATAGCAAAAATGTAAGTGTGCAAAGCTCTGTATGCTGAGTACTTTTTTGTATGCTGTAATACTTAGATAATAAATACATGTCAATTAAAAGTGAATAATTAAATTTCTAATTAATACTATGAATACTTCTCCGATTGAGCCCAATTTTCAAAAGGTTGTCAATGCATCTGCAACCCTCTGGTGTAGCAGATGTCCATGGGTGGCGGTATTCACTTAACATCAGGTGAACCGTCTGCTCGTTTGACAACTTTTCACATTAAAAAAAAATTGAATACTTCCAATTCCTTAAAACAATATATATGATAGCTTTATATAATGCATTATAGTTGGTTCATACAACATTTATTTCTTCTTCATTCATTGATTTTTGTAACTTCATAATAAAATTAGCATGTGTCAGAATTTTAAATTTTTATTGATGTATATTTTTTAAATATCGAATGAATTAATAGATTTTAATTTGAATACTGAATTATGCTATTGTTTTTATTTATTTTAAGACTGAACTTGTAATCGAACTGTAAAGGTACTTTTAAAGATATGTATGTAAGTATGAAAATATTTTACCATCTTTGGACAGCGATGTAAAGGCCAAGGATAAAATAAAAACGTTATTTCTCTCTCTGTGTGATCTTTTTTCAAAATCAGACTATTATGTGTATATAATTTTGTCAGCACAAACTTTTTAAACTTTGTTTCAAGTCATTCCATAGTACTTTAACACTGGGATTTGTTTTATTGCAACAAGCACAATATGATTATAAATAGACACTTGTGCAGAAAAAAAAATATTTAAGGTAATCTACAAATGCATACATACATACATTTTATATTAATAATAATGCTTATCCTAAAATAAGTTCACTTTCGTAAGTGCTGTTTTGTACCTGAGCTGTGATTCTTTCTCTATGTGAAATAAAACAAAAATTAAACTTAAATTGAAATATTAGCATATACATAAGTTGAGGCAACCCATTGCCATATGAAAAATGTTATCTTTTTAAATCTTTAACAGGCACTTACTAATATGAGTCTATTGTGAAACTGACTATGTTGTGTTACAATGAGTCCCGGACATTTCATTATTATATTAACCATTATTAAATTTAATTAAGTAACATAAGCACTCCTCATAAGTACTTAAAATTTGTAATTTAATTTAGAGTCTTTATTTGACTAGCTGGTGTACTTACATTTTGTGGTGAAATAAATAAAGCAACAATTTTGAAGATTTTTATTTTGTTCCTGGTGTACTGATGATGAAGATGGTGTATGAGTTTGACCTTTGTTTTCTTATGTAAGTTATTTTTTTTTATGAGAAAAGTTGCCAAGCGAGCAGGTGGTTCACCTGATGTTAAGTGAATACCACCGCCTATGTACATCTACTACATCCGAGGGTTCCAGATGCGTTGACAACCTTTTGAAAATTGGGCTCCGGCCACCTCACTCACCAGACGAAACGCGGAAGTATTATACTTCCACTTTACGCCGGTCTTCTGTGAGGTCGTGGTACTTACCCGGACGATCCTGCCCATTCGTGCAACAGCCGAGGCTGCTGCGTGGCCCTACCACCGTTAATAGTGTTAAGAAACTATATTTCGAAAACATATGGAGTCTGCAGTGGGGCCGCGTGGTGGATTATACCCTGATACCATCTGTATAGAGGAGACCTTTGTCCGAGGCAAAGGCGGCTTAACAGTTAAGACAAATGTGTGGATAATTGTAACTATTTTTATTTCTTTGGATTATTTCCATATATTTACTACATAATTATGTTCAACCTGATGACAAAGGGTGATGTATTCGTGGATTCGTCACACATAAAGGCAATAATCCTTAGTAATATCTCGTCAACGAAAGAGGATATTGTACTTAAAGACAGAAAGAAGTAATGGAAGCTTTTTTTATGTGAGACTAGCGATCGGCCCCGGTTTCGCACGGGTGCAATGTATTATACACATAAACCTTCTTGAATCACTATTTAGTAAAAAAAACGCAACAAGATCTGTTGCGTAGTTTTAATGATCTAAGCATACATAGGGACAGACAGACTTTGACTTGACTTTTTTTATACTATGTAGTGAAGGTGGAACGAAGGAAGGAAAGCCTGGATGATAACCACCACTCATTGACATTAAGTAGGCCCCGGCTACCTCACTCACCAGACGAAAGAAATATAACACTTCCGCCACACGCTGGTGTTTAGTAAGAATGGGCCCATTCGTGCAACGGCGAGGACTGTGGCGTTGCCCTAACATTGTAAAAAGTACAGGGAAAAAGCAAAACATGTAACCGCTGATCACACTAAATAATCATAATTTATTCAGACAATCCATTATATAATAATAATAAGCCTTGTTGTTCTGAACTTCTCATAAGTATGAATGCAATATTTTGTTATTGTTATAATATGTCCCTAAGCTCAGTTTGCCTCTTGGCATAGGCCTAATAATCTAACAATCCATTAGGCTAGCAATAATGGAAGCAAGCGTGACCCCCTAGAGCAGTTTTTTATCCGACCTCGAAAAAGAAGATTCTGAATTCGGTTGTATTTTTTATGTTTGTTACCACAGAACTCGGTCATTTATGAACCGATTTTAAAAATTGTTCTTTACTGTTCATTAGGTTCAGTTTAGTAGCGATGTTGTATATTTATTTAATTGGTACTGGTAACCTTGAACACCGCATATATCAGCGAATTCCTCAAAATAAAAAAGTCTAATGTTTAGAGAGTGATAGTGGTGTGATATTTGCCGTCAGTTAATAAAAATAAATATTTATTAAATGAAACTATTTAAGTGATTTTATGGTGTTTTAATTTTTATCTTTAATTTCCGAGGTTTCGAACCCTTTCCAGCGTTCATGGAAACGGGACAGTTTGATTGTTAATAAAATAAAATATGTAAAGAGATAAAATCCATAAAATGGTTTTATTTAATATGTATAATAAACTAGAAATCAAAAATAAATTGCTCCAAATCTCACGGGATACGTTGTTTTATTTTAATAATTCTCCATTATCGTTTTCACAGTCCCCATTAGTGATGTAAAATGGCAATGTAATACCTTATTAGATATTACATTGCCATTTTCCATTAAAAAGCATACGTTCACTGACAGAATGATTACAGTCACATCTGTCTTCTGAAAATTCGAATGATTTTAACTCTTCTATTGATACTTCTTATTAAAAGCTTATAAATATCTTGGGAAAATGCCGACCCAGGTGGAACAGAAGACTGTCGATCCGGAAGCGGAATTGAGCAATGTCCAGCGTATGGTAAATTAAATTTTTAATTTATTTAGACTACACTATTCTGGAACATTTTCTAATCTTGACTTTTTCTAATCTTGATGAAATCTTCGAGTTGGTTTGACAGCATCTGGCAGTAGGTTTCATGCCGGGAGTTCGAGCAGATCTATTCCTGTAATGAAAAATGTTACAATTTTTTCTTTTTACAAAATTTCCATATTTGTACCCGCTTCTCGGCAACCAATTAACGGCACTGTCCGTATCTACTCCGTTAAGGGCAAAAGTCTTTATTCGCCCAACTAGTTTGCACAAACTACGCACAGGGAACACTGCTGACCGATGAGGTATGAAATAAATCCTAAAACTCACAGAGTAAAAACGTATTTATGTTTTTCGTAATAAAAAACAGAAATTCGTTTCTGTTATCTGGGTGCAAGCAGTTTTTTGACGACTAACGCCCGGTTTCTGAAACACCGCCCGGTTTCTGAAACACTGACCATCGTAGAAATTAGCTAATTAGTTGTCAAATGCCATTTGAGTTGCCAAAAGGATGGTTAAACTCTTTGAATTGATCATTCTGATCATTAAGAAGATCATTCTGATCAAATCAGAGAGTTTAAACATTTTACAACTGATTATTAACAACAGATTAGGAATAATCATACACAAACAACACTGCCAACACGCTTAACCTTAGCTGTCCATCTCATTGTTTGTTGTCTTTCACTTGCAGTTCCAAAAGCTTGCGCCTCTATGCAGCGTGGAGAAACGCGCTGGCGGGGAACCCCAGCTGGCGCCCCAAGAGAAGCAGCTCGATATTCTGACGAAGGAACTGCGCGAGACCCTCCTCTGTATCAACGTGAGTATGAAGGGTATCTACTCCTGAAGAGTAGACTGCATTGCAAACGAGTCAGATGGTAAGTGACCACTACCAACCATCGATATTAACGTACTAGAGAATGCTGTGGTTCGTCCATTAGTAAGGATAGTCGTTATATCATTCAATGGACGAGACGACAAAGGTAACTGTTCCCAATCTCTTCTTTCAGTCGAAGGTGAGAGGATATCATACAACACCTGAGGGAGGGCTTGAAAAAAGTAGACCTGGATTGCCTCATTCACCGAACGAAATGCGAAAGTATAATCTTCCACCTCACGCTGGTCTTCTGTGAGCCTACTTAAACAATCAAACGGTAGATACATATTTTTATAGATATGATGTCTGTGATAGGACAACGCAGCAGCTACTTGTGTTGCACTCTTTTTAAGGTTGACAACGCATCTGCATGCCCTCCCTCAGGCGTTGTATATGTTCACGGATGGCGGTTAGGTCCTAAAATCAAACGAAACGCCTGCCTATTGTCCGTTTTGACATCTTGTCATAAAAAAGAAATTCAACTCGCAGTTGGCGAGGAAGGGCATGCACGCACTAAGGGACTCGCACACCAAGAGCGGCACCCGCAAGTCCATCGTGGAGTACGAGGCCAAGATGTCGGAGCTTCGCGACGAGCGCGCCCAGCAGGCGGAACTGGACTGCCTAAACTACCTGGCTCAGAAGCAGATCGTCGAGCTGATGAAGCTTGTGCCCACTGAGTCCGAGGTGACATAGCTAACTTTAACAGAGTTCTTTTAAATATATAGCTAACGTTTACAGAGCTCTTTTAAATTTTTATTGTGCTGATCTCTGCACTTGAGATTAAACATTAAAATTAGTAAATATAAGTGGGAAAAGTTTTTCACCGCTGTTGGAATCGAGCACAGATCTAGGAACGCAATGATACTGACTCAATCAAAACGACGACGGACAAAGAATGTGCACTGGAAATGTAGCAATAGTGTTGAAACTATTTCGAAAAATTAAATATGTTTTAGGATGTCGCCACCATGTCAAGTTAGATTAATGGTCCTACCCGTATTAAGCCGTGATGTGTATTTTTTATTTGATTTTTGATAGGAATTAACAATGATCGAAAATGCCAACAATCGTCTGCGCCGCATGGAGAACCGCCTGGACCTGGCCACAAAGCGGTTCTGCGTCGTCAACTCTAACAATAAGAGTGTGCGGGAGGAGATCGATCGACTGCTCGTCGAGAGGTGCCCTAAATCCTGGCTTTTACAGTAGTTGAAGATCTTACCGGTTTCAACGCCTTATTGCCCAAAGTAGTCATAGATGGTATACAGAACACTGGTAAGATGAAGGGGATGATAGTGAAAAAAAAAAAATATTATCGTATGCGAAATAGCGGGAATGTTTCCTTAAAGCTGACACTATCGTGCATATATTATTGTTTCTTATGATATATCTATAGTATCTATGGATTCATAATCAACCTTCATTTAAAATCTCGTCATCGTAGACTAGAAACTAATCAAAGGTACATAAATCAAAAACTAAAACGACTAATTCGTTATAAAACTATACAAACGAGACTAGGAAATATTTTTCGAGTATTCGATGATACTACTGAGACATAAAAACAGATAAATCGAACACAAATCGAAGTTCTATATTTTTATTCTTTTTTCCCATAAAATATTAGCTGTACTAAAATTATTTTTGTACTTTATTTTGTGAACAAAACCGATACTAATTTTAGCCATAATCGCAGAACACTTACTCAAGGGGGCCATAATAGTACCTAAATGATAGAAGTGTTCTTCAATGAATATAACATTTAGGTACAGCAAAATTATATAATGCTAATAAACAAATAACGTAATGTAAAAATCTCTAATGTTAAACGTGAGTTTATTATAAAATACAGCTCTGCTTTGCCTATTACTATCTACTTATTCATCAAATCCAAATAATATTCTCACTCAAGAACTAGGGAATTAGTGGCACCATCGTACCCGCAGGAACGACTTCAACATCCAATGGAACCGCACCATCGGCAAGTTGGTGAGGGGCAAGGAGTACCTGATGGACATCCTGGAGATAGCGAGCAACGCGTTCGCCGACCGCGACGAGTGCTGCAGGAAGCTGGAGGCGCTCAAGTGGAAGGGGCTGTTCCAGCTCAACAGGGACATATCGGTATGCGGTGCCACGAAGAACTTCCGCTAGCGCCCGGTTTCTGAAGCGCTGATCATCGTAAATGTTAACTAATCAGCTGTCAAATGGCTTTTCAAATGTCGTTTTAGTTGCCAAAAAACAGTTAAAGCCTAAGAATTGATAATTCTGGTCATTAAGAATGATCATAACCGACCAGAACGATCTTCTTATTTAGAGAAAGTGTTATCATGAAAAAGTGTCGTAGAAATTTTTCCTTTTTACTCGTATCGTTATAACAAAAATGTAATGGTGATAAAAAAAATTTAATAATCAATTTCATGTACATTCTAAATGACCTTTTTTACACCATTAACACAAATTGAAAACAGCATACCATACCACCATTAGGAAATGCAATCGTTCGAGGGCGAGTTGAACCACTTGGCCAAGTTGGAGGAGTTCCTCCGAGTGAAGGGATCGCGCAGGATCTGCGAGGCGGACGAGAAGGAAGAGATCAAGAACCAGGAGGAAGTCCATCGCTGCGAACAGGAGATATCCAGGCACGACGCACTGCTAGAGGAGATATTTGTAAGTGCCGACTGTTGATATACAAATCGACTTAAGCTGAGTGAATCGTGATACAGGCTAGGCGCCCTCAGCGCCCGGTCACTCAAGCCCAGTGGATCTGTAGAGGCCTCCTCATGGCCAACAGTTGTTGATCCAGCCAAAAAAATCTGAGTGATTTCTAAAATAAGAAGCTAGGTGTTGTAAATTACGTTGTGTTGAGATATTTGGCTCAAGCAGACTTCGGTGCAGGTGCTTCGACAAAGTTCTACCTGCAATGTACTCTATATTTATAATATCTAATCTATAAAAACGCCAGTTTACAACAAACATGTCAATGTATCGATGCAGACATCTTTTGGGTACTTTACTCTGAGCACGAAGAGGTTTTTGAATACCTCTGATAGGACAAGTTATGTGATGGAAGTTTTGATGATAACGCTTTATTTTTTGATTACAGCCCTTATAATTTTTAATCGATCTTTTGTTTTTAATTTACTTAACACGTGAATCAGAGCTTTTGAAAATTCCAATAAAAAAAACATTCAAGCAAGCTTATATGTAATATATAAAATACATATAATATATAAAGTTGCAAATATAGACGTAAGATCAGCGAAAACCTTACACAATATTCAAAGGCGCAGGACTTACTCTTTTAGCGTCACTGCTTTCGTTATATTACAATGTTTCCTTAAGACGAGAATGTACCGAACTTTCTCCGAGCAAATGCATTTACCACCATACAATCTCACCGTTGCTACATATTGGTGTGCTTTTGGATATATACTGGTTAGACTGGTAATTGAAAATAACAATCCAAAAGGGCTACGCCGGATCCGATAGAACAGCAACCATCATAAACAACTTCAACACTACGGAGATCCAGAACTTCTCCATGTTCGTGCTGCTCTGCGAGGTGCTGCAGGAGTCCATCATCATGCGCCGTGAGCTGGAGAACATCCGGCAAAGGATTTGTAAGTGCATAACATGTACTTGTGGTACCTTACAAACCTATATACATAATCTTTTATGTAAAATTTGACGGTTCATAAGAGCGCGCAAGCGTCTATTTGAATAAATTTATTTTTGATTTTGATTTTGATTTTGATTATGGCAACATTAGAAAGCGCGCCTCAAACGGGTCATATTCACAGACTGAAATCTCTGTTAATTTTCAAATGTGACGCTTGATTTGGTGATAGTTTTACAGTTGATATGGTTGACTTCACATTGTGCGAGTTTAACGAAGCTATATTTTCGATGTAGCCCAAGAGCCCGTGGCGATCGGACCTTCGTTATTTTATAAAAGCTAAAAGTTTTGTGTTTATGTCCCCAGACAAGAACCATATTCGAGTATGAATCTTGGATCATGGTTTCTTTATTACATAACAGGTAGCAAAGATGTATAAAATTGCATTTATAATATTAGAAATCATGTCCTCCATTTTCAAACACTAACGCCCGGTTTCTGAAACACTGATCATCGTAGAATCAACTAATCAGCTGTCAAATGGATTTTTAAATGTTATTTGAGTCGCCAAAAGGACTGTTAAACTCTTTGAATTGATCATTCTGATCTTTAACCATTTTGCCAAACACCCCTTAAACTAAAACAAATTGTAATGAAATTATTAAAGCATTAATTGTCAGACATTTAACGAAATAATAAGACGACTGAACGTACATTTAATCGATGTCATGAGTCGCTTTATTATTTCGTATAATAAAGTTCAATTATACGTATGTTATAGTATAAAAGCTGAATTTAATATAATATATTATTATTATGTTGCTTGGGGAACTATTAAAACATTTTTCCTAAAAAATGAGAAAGTTTCGATAGTTACCAGGTAACCACGCCGGGTACGCCCGAAGAGTTGTTAAAGCATTGTTAGGCTGCACTGCTTTCTGCATGAAGACGTATCTTTTTCCACCCACGTAGAAAGTGCTAACTGTCTTGAAAACCTGTGATGATGAAAACTTGGTCTGAATCAGCCACATTATCTGTTAAAACTTCACGGCGTTCCTTTCGTGTGGCATAGGTATTCGTGCGTTTATACAATGGTAGGGTAACAGTTATCACTGTTGCACGAATGGGCAGGTCCGTCCGGGTTAGTACCACGACCTCACAGAAAACCGGCGTAAAGTAGAAGTGTAGCACTTCTGCGTTTCGTCTGGTGAGTGAGGTAGCCGGAGCCCACTTTCTTAAGAGGTGGCAACGAATCTGCAACACTACGGGTGTTGCAAATGTCCATGGGGCTATTACTTAACACCAGGTGAGCCGCCAGCTCGTTTGCCACTTTCTCACATAAAAAAAAACAGTTGCATATGACATTTCCAGTGGACCAACGCGACATGAACGAATCGCGCGACGACAAGCACGATAAGAGACTCCTCGAGCTGAAGACCAACCTGAATGAGCAGCACCGACGCTCGCAGGAGATGGCAGAGAAGAACGAGACCGCAGAGGCCCTCATCATGAAGGTTCTGAAAGGGATCGACGACCTTGTTAGGTTGGCGTGTTTGAAAGTTATCGCACAATATCTATGATCAAATTTGGAAGATTTGTAGTGAAATATAGAGAATGAGGCTCTCTTCGATATAAGCCCGCATCCTCTACTTATTTTTAACACTTTTCGATTGTAGTTATTGATTTTTTTTTTATACAAATGTGAAAGTAACGAGACAAACAGTTTCATACTAAAAGACGTTACTTTGTCATTTTCTGCCTGAATGAAAAGCTCTGTTAGATAAGTAAACACTGTCAATTTAGACGTTGATTTGATGAGTAATTTAGGGGAAGTTAAAGTAATTTGGAAAGAGCTAAGACAAAAGTTAATTCGTGCAAGTTACTTTTCAACGAAATAATGCGGCAAAGTCTCGAACGAAGAATTACAGAATGAAGTTAAAACTTACTGTGAAAGGTGTCACAACACTGGTGATAAATAATACAAAATCATACTTTTCTTACTACTGAATTTAACTGTATATAATTGTCGTATATAATCAAAGGCTTCGGATATTATTTTTGTTTAATGTATAGAAAGAAAAACTCCGTTTGATACTTTGAGATCATTGTATTTTTAGATACCTACTAAAATTATTTTAAATGCTAGACTTGCAAGATGCGATATAACCCCACTACTTACGTTGCTGGGCAATCACAAGGAGGTAACCAAGTGGAACGTCACCAAGTTCCTCAAAATCCTCGAAGCGGAAGTCAAGAGCCTCATAGAAGTCGTGTACGGTGCGGTGAAGGTGGGCATTGTTATTGTTTGTCATTTATTTGTCATTAGTAAAAAGTTTGTACTATTCTACCATTTTTTATTTAACAAAGGACAATACAGTTTTTATTCCGTATTAAATAATTATAAGAAAGGCAAACACGTATATTTCCAGATAAATACTATTCGTAACTATTGACCACATAATTATAAAACTCTTACTAAATAGACACACCTTTAAAAAACAGGGGAAAAAAAATTAATCTGCATTTACCAAAGGTCATATAATACAAAGACCTGACGCGGTTTGAAACACGGGTGCGGTTTAATTAGTATGAAATGAATAATGAATATTGAATCCTATGTAACTTGGGCGTTTTAAGTTATAAGCAGACACGGTTAATTAAATCAGCACAAATTATTTAACATTGATATCTTGCAATCTGTTGTCTATCAACAAATCTCCATTGCCGTTGTTTTACGTTCAAGTTATAAATTAATAAAGGATGTTTTCTAGACGATATTCAGCATGAACTTGCACCAGACTATAACGAAGGTTTTAACTTATCGCACGACACCTAAGACCAAGAAAATCGCAAAAAAGATTTCTGCCAGACTATGATAAACAGGCCCTCGCTTTTAAAGAATTAACGAGAGAAAATTCAAGCCAAGAAAATAAAATCTAGGATAGACATGAGATACCGAGTTACTCGTACGTTAGGGCTCCTGGTAAGGTCTGGCAAAAAACTAAAACTTTACAAACTGTACTTTTGTGTTGACGAGCCGCTTTTCAGCCCCCGGCTCCTACGCCACGAGGCCGCAAACCTGCCCCCGGAGCAGTTTCCAAGCTCGTCGCGGACCCCTATGTCGAGCTTCTGCGGCCGAACACTATCGACAAACTTGTACCTTATCAACCGTGCGCTTAGTAAGTTTTCCGTGGTTGTGTGAGACAAACAAGTCAATGCTATAGGTTTTATAGAAATCTGTAGTAGAGCCGCACAATAATATTAATGATTATTTAAATGATAACACACTCTGGTAATGAACTGATCGCTCTAAACGATATGTCAAACAATTTATTGAAAAAAAAAAAAAAAAAAGCGCGCAATTTTGTTTCGACCGGTTTCTCAGTGCAGTGGCTTTCTTTTCCGAACCATGCAAGTCATTTTGACTATCAATAAGTGAGTGTAATGCTCCTATGTTGAATAAATACATTTGATTTTGAAATAGTATGTTTCATGAAAGAACCGACCCGTCCGAGGTAGCACAGCCTAACAGAGTACCGGCGTAAAGTAGAAGTGCTTATACTTCTGCGTTTCGTCTGGTGAATGAAGTAACACCGTTGGAACCCGCCTTCTTAATGTTTGGCGCTAACTCTCAAACCCCACAAGCGTTGTTGATTCCATGGTTGGCGGTTATGTCTTACCATCAAACGAACCCGGGAACCATCTGCTTGTGTATCATTTAAAAATAAAAAGTCTTCCATGGAATGAATTTTAGGCCTTTAACTAAACACATGGAATAGTTGTCCGAGTTAATCCTGATTAATGATTGACAAATATACCGTATAGAAATATGTACGGTTGGAGGGGAGGTCCTAATATTTAAAAAAATATGGATAAGAACGCATTATTTTATGACAGCAATAAATTTTATTATTTTAAAATTTATTTATAAGAAGTTTTTTCGTTGGTAGTCTTTGAAGAAAAAACCAGAAAAAAATTTTTTTCGTAATGAAAATTTCTTTGGTTTATAGTTGTGTCGAGGACTACATTATGAACTTGGTATTTGAAACACCAGCAGTTCCAGCTGACGAGGAATATATACAAAGTATTTTCAGACTTGAGGACGTGAACACCAAATTTGGCATATATACTTTGACTATACCAACGTAAGATTTTTTACATTAGTATGTTTTGAATGAGTATAACAATAAATTAATAATTTGTATTTATTTAATATTTCAGAAAACGCCACCCGTATCGTGGATCTAAAAAGGATTAAATAAACATCATATAATATTTGTGTTTATTTATTATTTTTGTGAATTTTATTATTAAAGCTTTTGTTCAAATTCGTTATCCTATTTATTTGTAAAAAAAATAATACCCTGTGAATATCCCTACTAATATTATAAATGCGAAAGTAACTGTCAAAACTACTGAAACGATTTAAATGAAATTTGGTACACAGACTAGAGCCTGACAAAGGCTACTTTTTAATTGGAATTATTTTAAAAAGAGATATTTATTTAAGGGCTTCAGCGCGAGCGAAGCCGTGTGCGAAAAACTAGTTTTACAATAAATTACTTATTAAATAATGCTTAACCTTTGGTTTGTCGGAACGTAGATCTGCGCGCCAAATTGTGCTTCCGTTGACTGTCAGAACGTAGATCTACGCCAGATCGTTTGCGATTAAAAGTGAGCTAGTTGCTGACTAGATAGAGTTAATTTTCCCGTGAAACTCGATCGAGAAATTAGCGAAGGAATGAATGAACCGTACTTTGATAGCTAAAAGTATTATTACTGGTAAAAACCTATTTATTATTTCACAACTATTTCGAATATCTCCATGTTTTCATTTATATATTTCAATTACTGTTTTTTGTGAAACAAATATCGAAAACGGTAAGTATTTTTTTCTTTTCTTATTATTTAGTACATAAAACAATGACAACGTATCGAAAAATGCAATATTACTAAGAATTTAACGATAAACGAAGAACATAAAATGTATGTATCCGTTCGTCATCTCTGTTTCATTTTCGACTACTGATATTTCGTAGTTTTATTATTTAATTAGAATTACCCATTCTAATTATCTCATCATCATTCTAATTATCCATGCGAAAAAATGGAGGATAATCGGTATGTAAATATCACCAAATTACCAAAAACATTACATAGCTTATTTTTATTTTATTTCAAGCATAATTTGAATGGGTTTTTCAGGGTAGATGAAGCTCGAAATGTTGTATCTTTCTGTTAAAAAAAATATCGGGTTGTGTTTCATTAGTCCGGGTTATAGTCTTACGTATTGGATGATTTTTCTTACAGGAACAAGTCCGGAAAGGCAAATAAAAGGAAAATGAAGGGCGAGAAACGCAGAAATTATGACTCTTCACGCTTCAAGGAGGCTTATATGAAAGTTATAAAGGATAATTGGTCAGTGTACAAGGCGTCGAAGGAATATAGCATACCGTGGTCTACTTTGAGAAGACACATAGCTACTCATGGAGGTGAAAGTTTCGACTTACCTAAACTTGGGAGACCATTTACATTAGACAGCGACCTTGAATGTAAGTTTGTTTCCTACATAATTAAAATGCAAGAACTAGGATTTGGTCTCAGCGTCACAGACATCAAAGCTAAATGTTACGCTTTAGCAGTCCAACAAACGTGTCACACAAACGGTGCTTGGGTGCTTTAGTGCGAGCGGACCGTCTGTACCCTTGATCATTTTTAAAGGTGTCCGAATGGTCAATGATCTAGCGAATAGTGCTCCGGAAGGGTCTATCGTGAGATTATCCAAAAACGGATGGATTAACTCTGAACTATTTCTGGAGTGGATGCATCATTTTGAAGCTCATATTCCACCAGCTAGACCGGTACTTTTAATCATGGATTCTCACTCTACCCATGTCAGCCAAGATGTTATAGATTTCGCTACAAAAAATGGCATTCATCTATTCACTTTTCCAAGTCACACAAGCCATCTCCTGCATCCTCTGAACGTTTCTGTTTACAAGTCACTGAAAAATGCACGGGCTAAAGTGCTAAATAATTATAAGCTTCAACATCCAACGAGTGCTCCAACAAGGCTTGACTTTTGTCGCCTATTAACACCATCCTACGAGCATGCATTTCAGCCGTCAATAATTATGAACGGCTTTCGAAAAACTGGCATTGCGCCATTTGATCGAAATGCCATTTCTGATGAAAGTATTGCCCCATCATTGATGCAGCCAAGTGACCTACAGTCACAGAATATTGAATCTTCCACTGATAATGCCCAAGCTTCTGCTGTCAATCGTGAAACTGCGTCACCTTCAGTTTTCTCTTTACTTTCCGTTCCTGAGGTACCACAGTCTTCTTCTTCTAGTACCCGACGAGCTAAGCGGAATCCACAGGCCCGATATTTAACACCTCAAAGCACGAACAACATGGACAGTCCTGAAGAAAAATCGTCGCCATATCAAACGAAACCACAGTCGCCGTTACCAGTGAGGAGACCGTTACCTCGATTTCGTGTCCCCTCTGCTTCTCCAACTCCTGGACCTTCAACTGAAAGCAACCTGAAGCGTAAACTACCAAGAGTTAAGGTAGAGAAAACACCAAAATCAAATAAAAGTACGATGTGTGACTATTGCGGTGTTCACTACTCCCAAGATGTGGCACTTAGGAACGGAGCTGTATGGGTAGAGTGCATGAGCTGCGGCAAATGGTACCACCAAGAATGTACTGGCACAGAGTCGCCACAGTTCCTGTGTGATAATTGTGATAAAGTAGACTTTTCAGGCACTGATGACAGTGATTGGGCACCTGAATAGACTTGTCACCATATTGCCACATATGGTATCACCAAATTGCCCCCGTATCCCATATTGCCAACACCAAAAAGATTTGTTTGATCTGATTTTCCTATTAATGTTTAAGAATTTAAGTTGCTGTATTAACTGATTATTGTAATAAGTAAAGAGGTTTTCTAATATATGTTAATTTTGAAATAAAATTTTAAGTTTTTTTCTTATTATCACCATAAAGCCAACCTTTACCCTATAGGATGTTCATAAAAGTATTTTTTTTTTGTTCTCTGGTTGAACATTACATTTTTTTTAATTGATTTGAAATTACTTCATCGCTATAAAATTTAAAGATAAGGTAGAGTACATTTTATCCACTTAGTGTTAATTTACCTATTTTAATGAAAATGAACAAAAATATATTATTGGAAGATAGAAGGGTAGTAGCACTTTTGGCGGGCGCTCCATGGAGTGATCAGGCTCAAGGGTCCCCGAGAGGGGACCTCGGCTTGGGCTGTCACTCAACACGCGTTTAGCATTCGAAGGTGCCTGAGAGGGTCGGACCTCGGCTCGATCGGTAGCTATTATCTGACTGGCGGGTAGTAGCACACTGCAACGGTCTATAAAAGGAACAGCGCAAGCCATTTTCGGGGCCAATCCGTTAGTCATAGTGGCCGTCACCTACAGACCCTTACAGCTAGGTACGTTCCGTCGCAAATGGCGCAGACCACGACACATCCTCGATTTCCCTGACGATGAGACGACTATTGCCATCGACAGGATAAAACAATTACGCAAACACACCAGATCACACCATGGTTTTCCCCCGTTAATGGTAGAAGCGTCGCTGGAGTTTCTTCCGCCACTTCTTCTCCCAGCGCCAACGCTTTCCAAAGTCGTAGTAATGTTAGACCTAGAAATTCTTCCAGTCAGATAGTAGCTACTGATTGAGATCGGAATGCTAAACGGGTATTGAGTAACAGCCTAAGCTGAGATCCCCTCTCGGGGGCCCTTGAGCCTAGTCACTCCATGGAGCGTCCACCAAAGCGCCTCCCCCTTGCTCTCAGCTGCTTCTGCCTATCTGTGTGTCAGGTAAACTAGAAGATCACCGGCTGAGCGACCTCGACGAAAGCCATACTGGCGGTCGCTAATCAGCTGGTGCTCCTCTAGGTACCGCAGGAGCTGGCAGTTAATGATGGTCTCCATTATTATTATAGGGCCTGTACTTGGACGGATCGGAGCTGTTGCCTTTCTTAGGGATCGGGTGCACTAAAGCGGATTTCGGGAATACGCCTAGAATATAGGAGAGCCGGAAAAGACGCGTCAAAACCGGTGCCAACTCCGGAGCACATATCTTCAACACGATCGGAGGGATGCCATCGGGCCCACTCGACTTATGAATGTCCAAGGAAAAGAGTGCTCTGCGAACTGCACTTTGCCGAAATTGAACCTCAGGCATCGTAGCATCGCAACGCGGGACTACCAACAGGTAGTAATTTTCCTCGGTCATCCAAAGTCGAGTTGGACGCGAAGAGAGAGCCCAGAAGATCGGCTTTCTCCTTCGCGGCATGGGCCAGCGAGTCATCCTCCGTGTGCAGGGGTGAAAAAGAAGGCGTACAGAAATTTCCCAAGACAGCTTTGGCGAGAGACCAAAACGCACGTGTTCCCGTTGGGAGACGCGCCAATCTCTCGCCAATTCTGCCAATGTGTTCCGATTTCGCCTTAGCAATAACACTTTTGAAGGACCTAGAGGCAGAGTTATACTTCTTTTTTAAAGCGCTGGTTTTTACATCACTAGACGTCGAAGCGTCAGCCCAAGCCTGGTAGTATTCCCGCTTTCGGCGTAATGCCAAATTACAGGAGCGACCAAACCAAGGCTGCAACTTGCCACCAATGGGCACTGCAGAGAACGGAATAAAGAGTTCCATACCTTGAAGCACCACATCAGTCACTGAGTCAGCAACGACGTCTGGGTCATCCGGCGAGAAGCAAATCTGCCCCCATGGGTAGGACAAAAAGTGTCGAGGCGACGAGAGCATATAACCTCTCTGACGTACACGCACACCCCAGCCCGAGGCAGAATGGAATGTTCCAGTTTGTACCCCGGGTAGGAGAGGAATGAGGTATCAGCTGGGGAAGATATCTTTGTCTCGGTAAGGAAGAGCAAGGCCGGCTTCGCCATCTCAAGATGGAAGTGGACGGCGTTAAAGTCGGGAATTAGCCCCCTTATGTTGCAAAAGTCCACGGCATGCGAGGTAGGGGTGGCCTTATGTTGCCTGCTCCGTTTGCCCCGAGCAGGTGTAGAGAGCGCAAAATTGCACTCCCCCCCCAGAACACGAAGGGCAGCCTGGGCGTTCACGCTCTGACGTTGTACGGCCTGCGCGTGGACGTCCAGACAGGGATTCTCCACCGCGCTGTATGCTAGTGGTACCCTCCTGGGGCAGAAAATTTAAATTTCGTGCAGACATTATGGGGGAGGAATGGGGAGAGGGCGTCCGGGACTCTCACAGACCAAACGAAACGTGACAGCATAGCTGCCACTTGACGTCGGTTTCTAGTGAGAGAGTGGTTCTTCCCCGGGCGTGCCGGCCCAATACGGCTGCTACCCGAAGGTGCGCAGCATGGCACTACCACTAGTTGGGTTGACTGACTGCACTGGTGGAATAATCTCTGTCACAAGGTTATCCCACCAGCGGGCGATGGGGTCGTCACGTCCCGACGCCAGATATTGTTTACATGCTGTAAAGGATGGAAAAATAAATACACCAAGCTATGCTTGGAATGCGAAAAACGATGAAGATTTTTTTTAGTTGATCCTGTGTTGTAAGGACGTTTTACAAACATAAATTTCACGCGGACATACACCCAGCGGAACAACTATCTGTGGGTCACACAACTAGTTGTCCCGTGTGGGAATCGATCCCACGACCTGCGACGCCGAAGCCAATAGCTTGGCAAGGAGTCATTAATAAAATCTTTTTTACTACAAATTTTAATGTTTCGTCTTAAGTGCCGAGAATAACACAATTAAAAATTTACTTTGAATTTTTTTTATTGGAAGTAGGATAGAAACTTACTTGAAAATTGAAACACCTGTATAGTCAGTGTCGGAACGTAGATCTGTGTTCAGACTGTTGTGTCGGAACGTAGATCTGCGCTACTAACGGACCAATAAATTATGATATTTATACTCAAATTTCTAAAGTTTTATCAAAGAAATACACATTTCAATTATATTAATTCAAAACAACATGTATTCTGTTTTCATAACATGTTAATAAAAAAACTAAAACGTTTATCATGAATTACTTATTGATATTTTTCTTTAGGATGTCGTATTTATTGATAGCTTATAGTAAGAATTGCTTCTAGTAAACAATACAAACATTCTACAAAGGCAAAAATGTAATGATTGTAAAGTTAAGCCATCCATATAGCTTTAAAAGAAACCTGAATCATAGATTATGGTTTTCACTATAAATATTGTTCCGAAGAAAGACGCAGTTGCAAAATTGCGCGACTGTTTTTCACCGACAGACAGCGCATTTTTCATAGTGCGCTACCCGACAGACCAAGGTTTAATAGTCCAAAATAGATACAAATTAATCTATTTTTTTTTCAGTTTGTTTTTTTGTTTACTTGTAAAATTATAAAATTGATTTCTTGATTTTATGCGAATATTTTACATTGTGAAGTGAAACTGTTTTACGGATTTTGTCGCGTTTAATTAGATTTTTCAAAATAAAATTTTTGTTTACTCCATAGTAAATTTCTATAATTAAACTACAACAACAACACCTAACAAATTCTGTACTTCTATGAATAAAATCTATAAAACTATATTAAAAAAAGAACATTCATAGCCTGTAAACAAAGTTAAGGATATTTTTGGCTTACTCTGTAGTATTTGAATAACTTGCAACATTGCTTGCTATGGCAATGTTGCTATTTGACAAGTTTTCCTAAATTTCAAGCAGAGTATAAAGTAAATGTCAAGCTTTATAGATTTGATCAATACAAGCGACTTATTGACAAACCTAATATTAAAGTTTCATTTTCATTTCATTTAATTTTTTTAAAAAACACTGCCCTTACTTTAGGATAATGTGTTATAAAGGACGTTTTACAAACATAAATTTCACGCGGACAAATACCCAGTTGCGAAACAACTATCTGTGGGTCACACAAATAGTTGTCTATAATGTGGGAATCGAACCCACGAGCCCCGACGCCGAAGCCAATACCTTGGCAACTGCGCTACGGAGTTTTAAGAGCTCCAACAACATGCTCTTTTTTGTCTTGCCTTATAAAATTGCAATCTGCTTTTTTTTTATCTTATTCTTAGTAGTCTTAATTTATTTAGTAATAAGGAAGCCTAACGATATTTTGTTCATACTTTTCGTTTAACTTTTATTCATTTATTTAATATTTAAGCATGCTGTGTTTGCCTCTTAATTAGATGTACATTAAGTTGTAACATTAATTCAGGTTTCATGTAATATTGTTTTTAATGTAACATCTACTGGCAGACCTAATAAATAAATAAATATAAAATTCAAGTTATGTTGTAAACATCATAGGTTATTGACATTCCCTTCTTTTACATTCATCATTTCAAATTACAATAATTTTAAGACTATTTTAGATATTTTATACCAAAAATTATATTTCTTCTAGCTGTTATAGAAAGAAATATTTTTTTATTTAACAGCAAACCTTACTTGCTTTTCTGGTCTGTAATGGAAGATGGGTGATATTATATTTTTAGATGGGCACACCGATGATGTGTTTCCCTTGTTAGTGTGTGTGAGTGATGTCTCCGCTCTCCGCCATTGAATTTCATTTTAGCCGAGAATTGAAATAGGTTGTGTACCTTTCATAATCGGCAAAAATCTTAATAATCTCTTTCTCTTCATCCATTTTCTTCAGTCATATTCCGTGCACAAACATTATATCCGATGGCAGACAGAGACACAGATGAGTTAAACATTGATAACGTAATAAAAAAATTATTAAAAGGTAAACTAATATTTATTCTTAATGACTCATAAGATCGGTGTTTTTGTGATATTGAAAGTGTTTTGTTTGGAATATGTTGTAAAATCTGTGAATTTATTGGTGAAATCGTGTTTAGTTGGTGCAGTTTTGTTTATATTTGGTTGTTTTCAGTCCGTGGCGAGAAGCCTGGTATGAATGTACAGTTAACGGAAATTGAGATAAAAGGGCTATGCTTGAAATCGCGAGAAATATTCTTGTCGCAACCCATCTTACTTGAATTGGAGGCTCCGCTAAAAATATGTGGTAAGTACTGTAACAATTCGAATGAAAGAACTGGCTCGGCCTAAACTTTCGAGTGCCTTGTGTTATACTTTCGAAATTTTCGTATTGCATTACGCACTGGTGTTGGAACGGAATGTACTTGAGACCTAAAGAAGAAACAGTAATGAAAATAAATTTAAACATTCATTTACTTTAGAAATCAAATGTATTTACCTTTCTAAAAGTATATTTATTTTGATACTTCACCATAAACTTAGTAGGCATCTTCAATTTCATTTAAAAAATGAAGTACAAAAATGAGCTAGTAGTTTTTAAATTTGTTTGTATGAAACGAATTTTTATTTTATTACTATTATTTTCTTGTGATGTACTATAACAGACATATAGTACACCTTAAATTGTCATACAATATGTTAACAATATGAAAACAAACAATAAGTAAACCATATAAAAATTGTTAGACCATTAATTTAAACATTTTCTTTCAATTGTAATATTAGTAAAAACTATACCAAAGTATAAATGAATGCCTAAAAATTTGCTACTATTTGTTATAGTGATTTAATAATAAAGAAACTTCAACATAATTATTTTATATTTCAGTGGTATTGTACTGTTTTTTCAATTCATCATTTTCAATTTGTTTTAGTAAATTGTTACTTGTACTATTCAGTAACTTTGGCCTCATCCATTGTTTTTGAACACTGACGCATTACTGAATAGTACAATAATAGGTGAAATCCAATAGTACACTGTCAGAGTATGACAATGATGTTTACAAATAATTCGCAACCATAAATAAGTCAACATCATAAACTTTCTTTTATCCACTGTATAACGGCATAACAAAACAATGGCCTCACAGAATTTTCCTTATATTAATATTCCCATGACGTTATCTGTTATGCAACTGGTTATAAATAAGTGATATTCTTTCAGGTGACATTCACGGTCAGTACTATGACTTATTAAGGTTGTTTGAATATGGCGGTTTCCCCCCGGAGTCTAACTACCTGTTCCTTGGAGACTATGTTGACCGTGGCAAGCAGTCCCTAGAGACAATTTGTTTGCTGCTTGCTTACAAGATTAAATACCCAGAGAACTTCTTCCTACTAAGGGGCAACCATGAGTGTGCTAGCATCAATAGGATTTATGGGTAAGTAAATGTACCAATATATTTTCCGGATATTTTCTACATATTTTATGATGTGTTAATGGGGAATTATGCTTTTTGAACTTACTGTGAAAAAATTCATTGTGAATGTTTTTTTTAGTATATATTGTTTATTATTATTATTTATACTTTATAAAAAAAAAAAATATCAATTATATTCATGACATACTCAGGACATGAATAATATAATAATAAAACAAGTTTTATGGCTAGAACATTTCTTTACATTAGTTAAGAAACTACCTTTATATAAGTATTTACTGGTCTCATTTTGATGCACCAATAATGGTGCATTAGGATTAAATAAGGTCAGACTTATAAAATTTACAATAAGAAAGCATTGACTTCTTGTAGAACTTTTAAATTGGTCAGTGACTCTTTTATATCTTTTCCAATGATTTGTATATTAAAGTAATAGCCAGTGATAGGCATAGGCTTCCTCTGTACAGAGGGTATTAAGCAATAGTCCACCTTGGTGGAGATTTGCTTAACCACACTGCGGATTGTGGACTTGAAATACATTCGATTTTTTTTTTCGATTTCCTTATAAACCCGGTTTCCTTGCAATGTTTCACTTATCGCTGAGCACGTCAAGTCAGTACTTAAAATTGCAATTAACAATTTCACTTTGCTATCACAGCTAACTTAGTTTATACGAAATTTTTATGCGAAAAAACAAAATACATTTCTCTTTGTAAGCTTTGATTTTTGTTCCAAGTTACATACACTCTACAAACTTTACAGTTCACACGAAACAAATTAATACCCGTTCGTGACTCACACGTTATCGTTGAGCGTAAAGCGTTTTTGCATGTGAAGGAACATGTGCGGCCCCAAAATCGCACCCTGCGGTAACCCCGCGAAATGTTTACGGTAAAAGGGCCTGAGTCATTGCGAATGAATCATCGCATCAAAGGTCGATGCGAGGATTCAAGATCACCCCTTCGCAAATAAGAAACTGGTCTCGAGATGATTTTTGTACTATTTATTGGGCTTTTTGGGTGTTTAGGAAGCTTGTGGTTTTTGCAGTTGATGAGTGTCGTTTGAAGAAAGTCACAAATGATCATCGTCTTTTGTTTTTTAGTATTGAGTCAATATTATGGTGTTATAAATGTCATGTCTCTTCAATTGTACGATTAGGCATCATGTATCATCACCATGCAGTATACGAGCAAAGCCAGTTCTTGAAGGAGCCGGTATTAGCTTGTCTTTGATATAAATCACCTGTTCCTATCTTGCTTGCTAACTTTGTTTGTAATTTCCACGCGTTGGTGCTACCTTTACTGGGATGACGTCACCTCTATATCTGCTGATAAGCTTGACGTTTGGTCCGCTATCGCTGATTTTCAACAAGGCTTGTCGCCCTGACATTAAGAAGTCTTCTATAAAGTACTGTACTATTCACGAATTAGTATATATGCTTATTAGTGTCAAGGAATTTACTTTGACTTATGTTTTTGGGCTTTCCGCCCATGTTGAGCCGTGATAGCTCAGTGTCCGGGCGCTCGCCTTTAATTTCATTTACTCGAGCAACCTGAGTTCGATCCCCGGTGCCAGCAACAATGAAATTATTAATTTTAAGTGCTGAATTATCACGCGCTCGGCGGTGAAGGAGAACATCGTGAGGAAACCTGCATATTTTCTAAATAATAATAAATAAAAATATTTCGAAAATATAGCTTTTTGGAACCCTGAGTTAGTGGGATAGTCGGATCCCACGAGCTTAATAGGTCTCCCCCGCATTGGTATAGGCCACGCGTGCGTGCGTTATTTATGGGGAGGAATGTCACCTACGGATCATCGAGGTTCTTTACGGACCGTGACCCTGACGGCCGTTGACTGCACTTGATTAATCGGGGACTGGGGGTTTTGAGAACCACCCTGGAACGCGGGTGTACCTTGTGTACGCGTTTTTCAGTTTCGCCGTGCTCGCTATAGCGGCATAACTTTTTTGCTGAGCGTTCTATCACTCTGTGTGTATAAGGTTTTGTTGGAAGAGGGTGCTAATTGTGTGTGTGAACAACACATATTAAAAAATAAAAAAAATAGGTACTTCTCAATCAAATTTACAATCATGTAAAATTACAATTCAAGTGTCATCATCTATATAAATAAAATAAAGCATAAAATATGAATTTTGTTATTATTCGGTATTAAAAAAATATTCTTTCGTCCTCTTCTTCGGAGAGTAAAAGGATTGAAAGTCTTGTCATTCATAACACTTTATTTTGCATATACTCAGAAAAGTATTTGCGATAAATTGGATCCGATGCACAAATATCCCTGTCCTGCATCGCAATATCCTTGCTATGCGTAAATACGTGACGGCTTACGTGTACTTTAATTGTGTTAATATGCAAGTTAACTATTACTTTCAATTAGACGCCCGAGGAGATAACGTAATGAGTTATGTAAATTAGTACTTTGCTTATTAACTGTTGCGACATTTATATTGTAATTGGCTAATGTAAACATACTTTTTTTGTGTATAAATACATATTATACATATATAAATAACCAGACACTGGAAAAACACTATGTACATGAAACAATATTTCTTCAGTAGTGGGAATCGAACCCACACTATCTGTCGCAACAGGCAAGTTAACTACCTAAAATCGAAAATCGTCTACAAGTCTTCTTTCATAAAAGGTTTAATCTCCTATTTGAACCTCTTAGGCTTATGTTGTTTTTATCTCGGATGGACTGACATAATTACAAATTATTAGATTTAGTAACGAATATAGTATTTTTCAATATATGTTGTGAAAAATATAGTACACTACAAAAATTATAGTATTCTATGCATAAAGTAAAGAAAACAATTATAAAATATATTGCTACAAAGATATGTATTTCGATCCATTCAATTGAATTATAGTATTTTTGCGTATAAAATTTTATCTTTTTCTTTTACATAATCAGCAAGTTTCAATCTTAGAGACAGATATTTACGAGGTTTTGCTCTAACACTATCAGAGTCGATGAACCTCGATGTCTGAAACTTATATTCATTACACTCCAGACAGACTGTTGAAATGTACGGCGTTGTGTGTAGGCGAATACGTTGTGGGACCCCCTATACGTTTGCTTTGCATATTTTTAATTTAGCGATGGAAATTCGGAAAATCGAGCTAGTTCAGTGAGCGATTTGACATGAACTCATTTAAGTGCATTAAATTATAGTTATTGACGGGTTAGATAGAGGTAGCTGATGATATATTGCCTTTATTTTTAGCTCATCACACTTTTGTAGTAAAAAACTAGTTTCTCTGTTATATCTAGCCGCCTGTGCATTTGGGCCCTGACTCGCGCTTAAACAAACTGAAGTTTTGAACTGTTTCTAAGTAATGTTTGCAAATTTCTCACTCATTATTTGTTTTTCCTTGATCGATCGGATCGGGCATTTTCTTTGATTGAATCCAAAATGATTGAGATTACAAGTTGTGTGAAACTGTGTCACCTTCTAGGTGAGCGATATAACACAATACACCATAAAAGAAAACAAACAACATGCGTTTTTTTATTCATGTAATCTTTTATTATATTTTTTATTCATCTTGTTTATAAAAGTTTTGTTGATATGAATTTTATAATTTTCAACAAAAAAAAAAACCGACTTCAAACCGGAAACTAAAAAACATTGTTGATAACTATAACATTTGAGGATTGCCCTTGATTTCTCTAAGATGCCATCACCAGATCCGGGTGTCCTTATCTTAGTACCACCGTTGGGATATCTCTTTTCCAACAAAAAAAATAAACATCAAAATCGGTTCATAAACAGAAGTTATCCGCGAACACACATAAACACCTCCTTCTTATTTGAAGTCGGTCAAAAATGAATTATAAGAGAGATAGATGATGATAGATGAATGAATTATGAATGTTTTGTTATCTTATTTTTTTTATTAATGCTAATTATGCGAGATAAATAAGTATTAATACAAAAAACAGTGATAGGAACTCGACTAATCCGTCTATTAATTCTTGGAATTACAACAACAAACAAACAAAGCCACACGTTTATAGTATTAGTTTAGATTAGACTACAGCCGATACACACGAAACGTAGTTACTGTTGCTTCTTGCTTAGTTAGATAATTCATTATCCGGGCGCTCGCTTTAAATTCTATATGTTCGAGCAAGCTGAGTTTAATCCCCGGTGCCGGCACCAATGAAATTGTTAATGTTAAGTGCTCGCTTACCACGTGCTCAGCGGTGAAGGAAAACATCGTGAGGAAACCTGCCTATTTTCTAAGTATTTACAAAAGAAAATATTTCGAAGACGTGAAGTCCGCCAATCCACAGTGGGGGTCGCGTGATAAGACTATGCCCTCTGTGCAGAGGAGGCCTTAAAAGATTTTCCGTGCGTCATGAAATGCACGAAACGAGCAATAAAATCATTCTTTGCGGCGATGAAACCGTTCACGATAAAGCTGTCACTAAGGCATTTTATAAAACCATTTCGCTATCATCACATCTCGACCCCAAATGTTTGTCCTTAGTCGCGTGAAGGACAATGTTAATGGCCAACATGTGACAAAACAATCACCAATCATCCAACTCGCCACAGCTATCTCGCGCTAACAAACACTTCAAGGCATTCTATCAAAAAACTAGATTTTATGTTTTGTTTTTGTCAGAAGGTGCCAAACGAAGGCCCCTGGTGTTAAGCGAGGTTAGCACTACCTCACAAAACGCTAAAGTATAGTATTTCGCTTCACGCCGGTCTATTATGGTGCCGTGGTAGTTTTCAGGGCCCTTATATGGGGGGGGGGGGGGGGAGACAAAAGTGGGCAAATTTGGAAGAATGCAGAAAACACTTGCGTCTATTTTCCCTCGCGTGGGCGGAACATCAAAGAAATGTAGTACTGAAAGAATTGGCGCTGTGACATATTCAATAATAATAGACATTATTGTTTTATTTATCGTTTAAAAAAAAGTTTTCTAATATCTTAAAACGATATAAGGTTTAAATTACAACACTGAATTTCAAGGAGACACAAAGTAGATAGTACGCAATGTGAATAAAAGTCACCTTGCCAATTATAACTAGAATATGTATTCAGGTACAATTCGCAAACATACTATATAATTTTGATGTTTTTTACACTAAATTTGCATTAGTCTATTTTTCTGGCATAAAAAATTAACCGGATACCGTTGTGTAATTTATATTATGTAAACAACTTTTTTTATTTGCATTGTCGTGTTATAAATATGGAAAGTATTTAAATTTACGAGCAATGAAACAATGGTTCTTCAGTGTTGCGCGATGAATATATTATCTATGTAACAAATTATTCTCACAATTTGATTATAATATGAGATCCTGTAATAAATACTGATTAGAGCAAATGTTTGTTCAACACATGCCACAGTTGTAGCCTAGTTGACATGTATTTTGTTTTTGTTTCATGTAGTATTTTAAAATGTGAATTTTAATGCATAAATGGACTAAATTTTTCGGCGCTGCGAGATACGAATGAGATAAAGATACGATGAGATAAAGATACGATGAGATACGACTAAAGGCCCATTTACACGATTCCATTTTCTTAAAGAGCAATAATTGAATGCAATAAATTTCGCGCAATAATTGACCATCAAGAATTGTAAGCAACAGTTTACACGCAGATATAGTAAAAAAAATTGAATGCGATTATTGTATGCAAGTCTTGACAAGAAATAAATGCAAATGTCTTTTGTTTAAACAATGCAATTATGTTTAGGCGATTATTGCTTTCAAGTTTTGACTTGTCTAAACACATGCTTGTATGTGCGTGTACAATTTATTGGCGTGTTGCTTCAAGTATTGCACGTATTTGCGTTGACAAATATTTCATTCAAGTGTTGAGCGTTTTGAAAAGGGTTGTTTATTTAAAAAAAATGGGTCAATAATAAGTGTTCAAGTTAGATTATGCCGATTTAATATATTTCTATTGAGATTTATTTATTATTATCCATAAATTATTATTTTTTTTTTTTGTCCAACTTTTTTTACGACCTTTTCTCAATATTTCTATCCTCAAAAGAACAGCAACGATTAAATACCCTCACTCATCGCACTCATGTTTGCAAATGAAGAGAGAAAATTGAATGCAAGAATTGCTTAAGAAATGATTGTATGTGCTGTTTACACCAAGGAAAGTTTTGAAACAAAACTTGAAGCAAGTCTTGTTCAAAAGGCAAGAATGTTATGTGCTGTTTAGACCATGCAACTCATTTATTGCTTCAATTTAATTGTATACAACAGGCAAGAAACTTGCACCGTGTAAATGGGCCTTAACACGGTCTGGTCTACAAAAATTCATACAATACATTTTAATATTCATCTCGACCGCAGATTCGAAGCGCAGACTAGTATCTAACATAAATTGATCATGACCATACAATATTTGGTTTGTATGTATTATAATGGTGAAGACGTGCAGTGGCGTGCACAGAGATGAACAGGGTATGCACTACAGAAAAATCATGAGTGTTTTATGAGAGCCCCACTCAAATAATTCCTTATTCTGTTCTTTTAGTGTTTTTGTTATAGCGGCAATAGAATATATATATAAATACATAATCATTGAAAATTTCAACTGTGTAACTATCACGATTCATGAGATACCGCTTGGGGACAGACAGACAGACAGCGGTCTTAGTAATAGGAAGTTTAACACATTGGGCCGTTCCCAAAACCCTAAAAGAATCGTTACAACAAATAAAAAAACACTATTAGGGCCCATTTACACGGTGCCAGTTTCTTGCCTGTTGTATACAATTAAATTGAAGCAATAAATAAGTTGCATGGTCTAAACAACAAATGGTCTAACCAATTATTGCGCGCAATTTATTGCATTCAATTATTGCTCTTGCATGTACAAGAAAATGGCATCGTGTAAATGGGCCTTTAGACTAAAAACTCAATAAACTGGAAAGACGAATTTTAATAGTAAAGTAATCATATTTATACTTAGGGCATGTTCATACGAGACTACAGGGGTCAGGGTATGCAAAGCCTTAATGCGTGTATACGTAGACTGTCTATTTAAATGAAATTGGGAAAGGCGTTTGGATACTTTTAATAGTGTGAAGGAAATAAAGAGTTTTGTTTATAACAACGCAAACGATGCCTCGTGCGGTGTGTAGCCAAAGCTATAGGTACTGAGCCGTTTCTCTTGTCCTCAGATTTTACGACGAGTGCAAAAGGAGGTATAACATCAAGCTATGGAAGACCTTCACAGACTGCTTCAACTGCTTACCGGTGGCGGCGATAGGTGAGTTTTTTTTTTTAAATGGGAAAAGGAGGTTCATGCGGGTGACTTTATGGTAAATGATCACCGCCGGCCCATGAACATTTGCAACATCGGTTGAGTCGCAATTGCGTTGCCGGCCTTTAAGGTAGGAATAGGCTCTCTTCTTGTTTTCTCTTCATCGGGCACATTAACGACGCTATATCGTTTTACGATCCTAGTTATTATTGAGCCTAACTCTTGCCCTAGATGGTTGACCTTGAAGGCCACCTGACCATCTTGCTGCGGTATTTTATGTATTTATTTATTTATTCTTAATGCACAAATATCACAAAAGTAGACAATGTCAAAGGCATTATCAACCCTGGGGTGGTACAAAGAAGATTTGGTAGGTCCACAGATATATTAAAAAGAAAGCGACATTTATAAATGTATATGCATATTTTAAATAGAGTACTAAACACATACAACATAAGAAGAACACTACAAAGTATACGTAATACATAGAAGCAATCACGTCAATCGTACTGGCTGGCATTCTCGGTAACTATCTCGATGTGGTTAAGAAGTCCGTCCCATAGTGTGCATAGAGTACATTACCGTTTATGGTTTTTTTTTTAAATTTATTACTTGTAAAGGGACGCGTTCGATGAAACGTGAATCTCGACATCGACAAATTAGGCTCGGATGTAAAGCGCTTTGGGGACTTCGGTCCTGATTAAATCTCTTCGCGACTATGTCGTAGATCCTTAACTGGAAAGACGAATTTTAATAGTAAAGTAATCATATTTATACTTAGGGCATGTTCATACGCGACTACAGGGGTCAGGGTATGCAAAGCCTTAATGCGTGTATACGTAGACTGTCTATTTATTCTTAATTGTCGCAGAAATATTATAGTTTTGCGTTTACTCTAACCCCAACCCTTGTTGTTTAACCGACTTCAAAAAAGGTTCTAAATTCGGCTGTATATTTTTTTTCGTGTTTGTCACCTCAGAACTTTCGACTGGGTGAACGGACTTTGATGATTCTTCTTTTATTTGAAAGCTGGTGCTGCCCACGTGGTCCCATATTAATTTCATTGGTATTGGATCTTGGGCTCCGGAGATACTTGGGGAACTCCTCAAGATCCAATTATAAAATGAATACAGAGCGAGATATTTGAAGGCGGTTTTGTTTTTCGTTAATGAAACAAGTATTTTTTTTTTCCAATGGTTCACTCAATCGAAGTTCTGAGGTAAGAAACATAAAAAAAATACAGTCGAATTGAGAGCCTCCGTTTTTGAAATCGGTTGAAAATGGTTGGCAACGCATGTCCAATTCGTCAGGTGTTGTTGACTTGCTCGGCGGCGCTGATCACTTAGCATCGGGCGAGAAGCCTGCACGCTTGCCAATTTTTCACATGTAAAAAACTTCTATGTCTCTAACTCTTAACAAAGTAGTGTGTGAGTCTTCGTGGACAGCTTGTGTTATATAAGCTTGTGTTTTTTTTGTGTTTTTATTTTGGGGATGGGAAAAAGTTGCGATTCAAAACAGTTAGAAATAAGATTCAGCATCTACCCGCGTCTTTCGCGAACGTTAAATTAATGACACAAAGTACATCCAGAGTCGAAATAGCTGTGTATCGCATATTCTTGCATAGCAGATGAACACTCAATCACTTCGCCATCTGTGCGTAAATTTCCGTCAACGATTACTGAAAATAAAAAGATTCGATTATTGTCTTAATTCATTACACACCTTGTACGATCACTGCCGAAATAATCATATAATCCCTACTCAATATTCTAAATGTGAATGTACGTTTGTTTATTACGCGTACACGTCAAAACTACTCAACCGATTATCGTGAACCTTTGTACGCATATTCTTTGAAGTTTTTAAAAGGCGATAGGGTTTTTTTTATTAAAAAAATAATTAAGGGATACGCGGGCGGAGCCGCGACCGAAAAGCTAGTTCGTATATAAATTTGTAAAGCGTGAACTTCTGATGCTTTTTTGCGTGTTGTACGCGCAAGAACTGCAGAGAACTAATCTCATAATAGGGCACGTCGTAAAACTTATAACAATAAACTATGCGATAACGAATGAGAAAAATTTGAATACATTAAATTTAATGTATTCAAGTATAACTACTTGTATTCGTCGACTTGTTAGATGTTACTACAGTACTCTATGTTGTGAGTTGAATGCAATTGTATTTTTTTTTTAATCTGTCTGTCTCGTCTTCAGTTGGAAATGAATCCCTTTACGCTATCGGTATCTCACGTAATCCATTAAACTTATTCCATCAAAGTTTTCAAGATAAATGTCAATGTGTAATGACAATTTCGCTCGTGTTTTGAAATTCACAATCGGATTAGATTAACTCGCGTCTCCTTGCCAAGAATCTTAGAGCGTTGACCCTTAAACACCGTCGACTCATCCGTCAGAATATAACTAACTGTCTTTATCTCAAACCGTACAATGCTGCAGAGGAACAATGACCGTTTTCGCGGCCTACACCCAATTTGCTTTGGCAATACGATGAATATTCTACAATATATTCCATGCATTTCAATTACAAGAAATCAGTGTTGACTTTGGGAATCTTTTCGGCTTTCGGGTTATATACCTCATTTGGGTCCGAATTGGTTTATATCAAGATGATGGTGCAAAGATGAAAATGGTAAAACTCTTTATAAAAGGGTCCCTTGATAGTGTAAAGAAATTCTGCTTTTTTTTTCTTATATAATCAAGTAATACGGACATTCATACCACACATTTTGACCCTTCAAACACTTTAAATATCACGCTACGAGTAAAGTAATAACGTCCGATAATTATTCACTCACATTCATCGCATAAGATGCTTTACCAACCTATGAAACGGTGTACCTCACTCACCAAACTTAACACCATTGTTCCGTGACGCCGTGCTACTTTCCTGGGCGAGTCTGGCCTTTGGTACAACAGCATAGGGGGATGCTGCGCAGAATCCTATTTCAGAATATTCTGAAACCTAAGGCATAATGGGTCTTTCTAACACAAGTTTTTTTATATCTAGGAAATACCTGCTTCCATAGCAAGCCAAGTGTTATTATACTGTTTATATTGATGACATCAGAATCGACTACCATAACACATAACGTAACATACATGACCCATTTTCCCTTAGGCTTTGGTCATTTCGCCGAGATTGTGAGTTCGATTTCTCAAACGGCACTACGAGCCTCATATTGTGTGGGTTTAACGTTGATAATTTGCATTGTAAGAAAAAAATATTTCGAGAATATCTGAGATCCGACAATCCGCAGTGGGTTCAGACTATGCCCTAAAACTCTCCATACAGAGTAGGCCTTTGCCCAGCGGTGGTACGTTTATAGGCTACACTTTACCACTATTTACGTATATCACATTGTATCATAAATATTTTTATTGTACTAGTAAGTTCTAAGCTAAAAATCGTATATTTTTTGTGAGTGTATTGACGCGGACCGTCGAGTAACTTCGATAGGGTCACCGTACGCGACCCGCATCAGACTGTCTAGACGACCTTTGACATAACGAATACATTATGCATCGATATACAACTTAAACGAGAGTAGTACAAATGAGATGTACATTTAACACAAACATCGAATCTTTATTGTGATTACTAGCGATCCGCTCTGGCTTCGCACGGGTGCAATGTATTATACATAATATAAACCTTGCTCTTAATCACTCTAGTAAAAAAACCGCATCAAGATCCGTTTTTAAATATGTAATCATATTATGTATGATGACAATCAGCGGACAGACAGCGGGACGACTATACTATGTAGTGATATGTTAGGATGTATGTGCCAGCGCGAGATAATGTAAGTTCCTTACCTCTTCTATACGGCTTCTAGTTTACATATTATTGTAATTTAACCGAAAATGTTCTAAACCAAATAAACAATAGCCCTATCGATTTTTAGGGATTATTTCACCTACCCGACCCAACACCGCTGGATTATCTACCTTTCGGGACATACTGTCTAGTAATAATATTTGTTTGCGTTAATAGTATAAATAAACTTTAATTAAATATACACACCATCGTAAAATACGTGTTGAAGGTAGCAAGGGAGCCGGTGGTTCACGTTTTGTAAAGTCATAACCACCGTCCTTGACTTTTGCAATAGGCAGGAATTGCAGATGTGTAGCTAACTATTAATAAAGTGGGCTCCGGCTACTTCACTCACCAGACGAAACACGGAAATATAACACTTTCACCACACGCCGGTCTTCTGTGAGCTCGTAGTTCTTAGTCGGATTGATTTGCCCATGCCAACAGCGAAGAGTGTCGCGTGGCCCTACATTAATACAGTTAAAATACCCTCAGTATAAATATATAAGTTAAACTCAATTAATACATAGTGCCAATAAATGCAGACGCTTCAAGTCTTCGCGGCCTAATTAATTTAATAGATAATTGAACTCGCACTTTGCTCGTAATTTCTCTTCGCCCTGTGTGTTTAACGACTCACCTCGACCGGGAATGTCAAGGGCGGCTGGGCTTGCTCCAATTGGCCCGACCTTGGTGATCCCTCGGCAGTTTCAAGGACCCACCCGGCCGACTCCACCGTTTTTCTGTCCATCGATTTTGCGTTAAAACGGGCCTCCGGTAAAGTTCACTCCTACTGTTTTCCATTCGTTTATAAACATTATTTTCATGCTTTGAGTTTAGCTTTATAGTTCAGACAATCGATAATGGTTGAAACACACTGTACGAACGTCCGAGTGTTTATAGACAATGGAATCCACGAATTTAGACATATGAAATTAGGCCTATTATCGCTATCGCGAATAACGCTATACTTCACCATTTGCCGTCGTAATTGCTTAATTTATCTTCCTATTTATAATAAAACTAGCGGACCCGACAGCCGTTGTCCTGTACCTGTACACACGACTTAATTCCGACAACTTATAAATAAAAAAAAATTGTAGTGGACTAAATTACGAATCTAAACTATTCTCGAATCGACCTGAAAACACACAAAAAATTTCATTAAA